ATTACACAATGGGCAGAAAGTCTGTATCAGATCCCTTACCAAAGACAGCAGACAGACACCAAGCGCTAATAGTTCAGGCCTGGAACACTTCGCAAAGGCTCACATGCCCCAGCAGTACCAACTGTACTACAGGGAGGTGGCAAAAGCTTTAGGATGAGGAACTCAGTTGGAGGCAGTGTGCCTTTAAAGGGTATACTCAGGCCTTGGTCTCATCCCAGGTCCAGAAACAACACAGCCAAGTCACCTTTAACTGAACCCTCTAAAAACATGAGCCAAACTAAATCTCTGTTTAAATCATTCCTATCAGGTATTTTATCACAGTGACAGAAGGGTAACATATTAAGTACATAAAAAGATACACTATTTCATATATAATAAGAAAATAACACCTGCCAGTCAAGCACAAGGTCCTGCATTCAATTCCCAGTAGCAAAATTTTTTTAAAAATAGCAAATTAAAATAATGATGAGATGCCACTACACATCTACTACAATGACCAAAATACAAAACACTAGCAACACCAATTCTGGAAATGATATAGAACAAGAAAAACCTCTCATTCATGCTGGTATAAATGAAAAATGACAAAGATAGTGGTTATATCTTAAAAACAAAACATGCTCATTTATTATCCAACCATCATGCTCCTCAATAATTTAGTCAAATAAACTAAAAACTACATCAACCCAAAAATCTGCACGCAGATGTTGTGATGGCATAGATCTGAACGTCCCAGGAAGCCTCAGGTGTTCTAAGGTGGGGTTTTTGGAAGCCAAATGGACCAGGGGTTATGTACCCATCAGTGGGTACATCTGTTACAAGGTGGGGGCTGCGGATTTAGCTCAGCAGCGTAAGTGCCTGCCTTGCAAGCGCATGGTCGTGAGTTCGATTCCCAGTACAAAAAAAAAAAGGTGGGGCAGAGCTGGAGGTGTGTCACTGGGATGCGATCTGTGGAGTGTGTTCCCCGAACTTTTTCCTCCTGGTTCTGTTCCTCATCACTTCCTCCACCACACCCTTCCGCCGTGCCCTTTCTGCCTGTGAGGCAGCCAACTATCCTCTAAATCCTCTAAGAACCATGAGCAAACCATAAACCTCTCCTCCTGTAAGTTGTGGTTCTGTGCCTCAGCAATGAGAAAGTGACCAGGACATTTATAGCAATCTTACTCATAACTGCTAGAACTGCAGAACTCCTCCACAAAATATCCACATGGCTCATTCTCTCAAAGCCTCCACATGTTTCTAACCAACTAGAAGCCAGACGGTGTTACAAGTTCTGATATCTGAAACCAATGGAGAGCTGGGCATGTAGCTCAACAGCACAGTGCCTGCCTGGCAAGCAGGAGGTCCTGAGTTCAATTCCCGGTACTGGAGAGAAAAAAAAAAAAAAATAGCCAGTGAAGAATCTGAAAAGAGCCACTGAATGAAAGCAATAGCTACAAGCACAAAAGTCGTTCTGAGCTAGGAATTTATACAAGCAGTCAACTTTTTCAAAAATATTTGCTCTCCCATCTATGACAAACCAACAGCCAATATTATACTAAATGGACAAAAACTGAAAGCTTGCACTTTAAAAATCAGAAACAAGACAAGGATGTCCACTATCACCACTCCTATTCAATATAGTTCTGGAAATACTAGCCAGGGCAATCAGACAAGAGAGAGAAATAAAAGGAATAAAGATAGGAAAGGAAGAAGTTAAATTATCACTATTTACAGATGACACGATACTGTATATAGAAGACCCAAAAAACTCCATTAAAAGACTAGTAGAGGGGGCTGGGAGTTTAGCTCAGCGGCATAAGCGCCTGCCTTGCAAGCAGGCAGTCGTGAGTTCGATCCCTGGTACGGATAAAAACGAAAAAGATCAAAAAAAAAAAAAGACTACTAGAGGTAATGCACAAATTCAGCAGTGTAGCTGGATACAAAGTTAATGATCAAAAATCAATAGCATTCCTGGGCCTGGAGATTTATCTCAGTGGCATAAGTGCCTGCCTTGCAAGTGTGCAGTCTTGAGTTCGATCACTGGTACTGATAAAAATGAAAAAGACAAAAAAAAAAAAAAAATCAATAGCATTCCTGTACACAAAACAAAAAACTCACCAAGAGAAACTATGGAAATATCACCTTTCATAATAGCATCTAAAATAATGAAATACTTAGGAATCAACCTGAGAATGTAAAAAGACCTATATGCCGAAAAACATGCTACACTAAAAAAAGAGACTGAAGAGGATATTAGAAAATGGAAGGATATTCCTTATTCTTGGCTAGGAAGAAACAACATTGTGAAAAAAAAATAAAATCAAACTAAATAGAGCGATAAGACTACTGTGACTTTTAAATACTGACAAACTGTTAACAATGTCCTCTGCCTTCCTTTTTTAGGCAATTTCTTACCTTTCCGCTTCTCAGGATGCTTTGTATATTTTGGGTCCCACTAGCTCCTTTAGTTTTTAGTTAAGAGAGTCAACCTGTTATCTGAGTGTTGCTGAAACTTTTCACCCCTGAGCTTGATCTTGAGCTGTACTCCTTTACTTACTAAAGCCACAAGGTTTTCCTTCCTTCCACCTGTGTAATTCTACACGGCACATAAGTGTCATAGCTTTCCAATCTATGCCTTCACCATCCTGTAATGATTTGATTAGTTCTATAATGTTCAGTCTGTATTCAATGTGTGTGAAGATGAGGACAACTATCTGGAAGAATAGAGACAATAAGATACACAGTAAACATCTCCAGTGGACTTGCTTAGAAATCTGTTTCTTTAATTTTCCTTATGATCTGTTTTGTTCTGTTTTGTTATAATTAATCTTACCTTCTTTAAAGTAAAAAAGGAAGGAAGGAAGGAAGGAAGGAAGGAAGGAAGGAAGGAAAGAAGGAAGGAAGGAAGAAACAAAGAAAGAGAAAATGGCCATACTCTCAAAACTGTTACACAGATTTAACACAACCCCCATCAAAATACCATTAACATACCTCACAGATCTAGAGAAAACACTCCTAAAATTCATTTGGAAACAGAAGAAACCTAGAATAGCAAAGGCAATTCCAGACAACAAAGGCAAGGCAGGATGCATCTCAATTCCTGACTTGAAATTATACCACAAAGCCACAGTGATAAAATCAGCATGGTACTGACAAAGAAATAGACCTGAGGATCAATGCAACAGATTAGAAGATGCAAGCACAACTACAAAGACACTCAGCCACCTCATATTTGACAAAGGGGATAAACATGTTCACTGGAAGAAGGATAGCCTCGTTAATAAATGGTGTTGGAAAACTTGGCTCTCCACATGCTGAAGACTGAAACTAGATCCATGCCTATCACCAGGCACAAAACTAAAGTCTAAATGGATCAAAGACCTAAATATTAAAACAAAAACACTAAATCTACTGGAAGACAAGGTAGGTAGAAGTTTTGGAGACATAGAGATAGGCAGAGAATTCATGAACAAAATGCAAACTGCACAGGAAACACTTCAAAAAATCAATAACTGGGATCTCATATTATTGAAAAGTTTCTGCTTTTCAAAAGAAATCACCAACAGACTGAAAAGAAAGCCTACAGAATGGAAAAGAATTTTAGCCAGCAATCCTCAGACAAAGGACTTATATCCAGAACATACAAGGAACTGAAAAACATCAAGCCCCCCAAATTCAAAGATCTATTCAAAAATGGGCATCTGGGGCTGGGCATTTAGTTCAGTGGCATAAGCGCCTGCCTTGCAAGCAGGCAGTCATGAGTTTGATCCCTAGTACCGATAAAAAGGAAAAAGACAAAAAAGGGGGGGGGGGGCATCTGAGATGAACACATAGTTCTCAGATGAAGATAATACAAATGGCAAATAAATACATGAAGAAATGTTCACCATCACTGCTCATTCCAGAAATGAAAATTAAAACAGCATTAACATTTCATCTCACTCCAGAAAGAATAGCTGCCATCAAGAAATCAACTGATGGGGCTGGAGGTTTAGCTCAGCAGCATAAGTGCCTGCCTTGCAAGCAGGCAGTTGTGAGTTCAATCCCCAGTACCGATAAAAAGGAAAAAGACCAAAAAAAAAAAGAAATCAACTGATAACAAACGTTGGCGAGGCTACAGGGAAAAAAGAACACTGCTCCACTGTTGGTGGTAGTGCAGACTGGTGCAACCACTGTAGAAATCAGAATGGAGATTCCGCAAAAAAAAAATCCAGGATTGGAAGTTCCATTGAATCCAGCTATTCGCCTCCTGGGTATTTTCCCAGAAAAACTGAAAAGGTCATATCACAGTGATGTATGTGCACCCATATTCACAGCAGCACAATTTGTAATAGCTAAATCTTGGAAACAACTGAGATGCCCATCAACTGCAGAGTGGATGAAAAAGATGTGGTATTTTTATGCAATGGAATATTACTCAGCTATAAAAAAGAATGATCTTGAGGCCTTCATAGGCAAATGGAGACAACTTGAGACTATCCTCATTAGTGAAATAAAAAGAATCATATTTATAAATATCACATTGTGTCTCTAGTATAAGTAATAAGAAATGTAGGAGTAATATAACCCAAAATGTTCAATTGCTATTGTAAAACAGAGAGGAAAAGAAAGTACTTTAAAGGATATAACTGCATATATGTAAAAAAAGAGAGAAAAAGAAAGTGCTCTAAAGGATATAATCGCATGTATGTTTTGAAGTGTGCAGGAGTAAGTTTTTGTTGGATCATTAAACAGAACTGTTTGCAGTCTCGCTGTTTGAATGCCCACATTGTAGACTTTCTTTTTTTTTTTTTTTTTGGTAGGCTTTATTTTTGTAACTTGAACAACAATTTCTAGGAGGACAATATGGAACTTATCAACTAGGGATTTCTTACCTTTTTTTAAAATTTTATATTATTTCTACTCTTTCTCTGTTTTGTTTTTTTTCTCTTTAAATACAATTTTAAAGAATATTTGCTCTCATTATTAGAAAAAGAAAAATAAGACACAGAATACAATGTTTTTATTTGACAGCTTACCTATTTCGAGCAGGAGATTTCCCAGCATCCTCTTGAACAGACACAAGTCTTGTGGAGAGGGAAGAACTGGAGGAGTCTGGATGAATCAAACTTCAGAGAAAATGGGAAGACGTTGAGATCATTTGGGACAGCAAGAAGAAAATCCTATTTCAATGAAGTACTTTAAACTTTTAAATCTTTTGCCTGCAACAGTAAGGCTATGAGCCATTTCTGTTCTTCCTTTAATTAAGGTGGAAAATGTACAGTTTTTAATCTTAAGTATACGAAACACCAAAAAAATCATAATAAAAGCTTGTAAGTATGTGAAACAACAATAAAATCAGCTGGATGCGTAACTACAGAACTTGTCTTTTACTTCTGTTTAAATACATCATTTATTTATCCTTTCTTCCCGTAAGAGCTGAGAAAATAAGTCATCAGAAAAACATTAATTAGGGGCTGGGGGTTTAGCTCAGCGGCATAAGCACCTGCCTTGCAAGCAGGTGGTCGTGAGTTCGATTCCCGGTACCGATAAAAAGGAAAAAAAAGACAAAGAAAAGAAAAACATCAATTAAAATTCTAAGCTCTTTGATCTGACAGGATTTGGTATTAAGCCTAAGAAAATTATTTAGCTGAATAAATGATCAGAAACTAATGAATCTAAATTTTAATTCAAAAAATTCTAGGTAACTTCCCTGAAAGAGCTCACAGCACCTTCTACTACCAGGCACTGCAGCATATTTAGACACATGGAAAGACAAATGTCCCTTTAAAAGGGAAAAAATCTAATTTCATTTAAAAATATTAATGAAAATCTTATGAGCATGTTGCTTCTCAAAGACCTTAGGAATGATAAATCCCAGTGACCGCCACTGCCTTTCCAACCAGTACTCTCAGAGTGGTCACACACCACGCACTGTTCCTGGTGCCAACAACAGAACGGGGTAAGAAATTCTCGCTTCTCCTGCAGCTTAGCTTCTAGTTACTTAGCACCACTGCTGTTCATAAATGTATGATCCTTGAGGAGGCGAGCCGAGGAGAAAGGAGAAAACAGTGAATGTGCAGAAAATAACTCAAAGACAGTAAATGTGAACCCAAAACACTCACAGATCACAAGATTAATAGTATATCTCAAGTAGAAATAAATTAGACTCCAGGGACAGTACCTCTGCCAGCCTAAATCATCCTCTAAGAATATGTTACGGCTGGCTTTTCTGCTCCCAACAGGTGTTCGGGGTTCACTCGGATCAAGGATAGACACGGAGCAAGCAGAATCCGAAAGAGCATTCAAGTCTTCCCCAATGGAGTTACTGTCTGTGGAATAAGCATAACTTAAGGCTATCTTTCTACAGTATGTACAAGCTCGGAGGTCCCCTAGGAGAAAAAATAAAAAGGAAAGATTAAGTAAAAGTTAGTAGTGATGCATTACTCAACAAAATTACTTTAAACCTTGGGTTTACAGGTAATGTAGTAACAGAAATGTCTTTAAGGAAAGCCTACTAACAGACATTCTAAAGAAGTAAAATACTACGGTTGGCTCAGTTACCTATATTAAGAATCATCACTATAATCATCACTATAATCCAAGCAGCCAATCTACTTCAGATGGGAAGTAAAAGGAAGGGGAAGTAAAAAGACTTAATGTGAGGGGCTGGGGATTTAGCTCAGCGGCCTAAATGCCTGCCTTGTAAGCAGGCAGTCGTGAGTTCGATCCCTAGTACCGATAAAAACGAAAAAGACAAAAAAAAAAAAAAAAAAAAAAGACTTAATGTGTGTTATGTACACATACCAACTCCTCGCAGTGAATGCAACATCATGAAGTACAAACATGTACTACTAGTAAAAAAATTTAAAAATACACTTCTTAAAACTTTGACCAGCTGGGCATAGTGGTGCACATCTGTAAGCCTAGCACTCAGGAGACTAAGGCAGGAGGATCACCTCAAATTGCAGGCCAGCCTGGGCTACATAATGAGTTCAAGGCCAGTCTGTACCATATACATTGTGAGACTCTGTCTTGGGAAGAAAAAAAAAAAAAAGTTGACCCAACAGTACCAGAAAACTCTACTTTTGATAGAGTAAATGAACACAAATGTGAACAAACACATTTTTCCTAGGCCTTGAGTAAAGAAGAAAACACTATTAAGGTCTCTATTATACAATCCTGAAGAATGGAACACTGATGATTGCAAAACTTTTTAAACAGTCTTAAAAGCAATGTAATACCTAGGGATAAAACTAAAAGACATTCTTATATTGATTGACATGAAATGTTCTTGGGAGGATAAACAGGGCTACTTAATACTTCTAAATGTAATTTTAGGGATGCAGTCCTCCCAAAGACAAGCTTTCATTTTTATCCTGATTTACCCAAACTTCTGGGCACGTGTGTTTGTGTGTGTGTGTTTGTGTGTGTGTTTGTGTGTGTGTGTGTGTGTGTGTGTGTGTGTATGCGTTTGTGTGAGCTGTGGGTGTTTGTGTGTGTGTGTGTGTGTGTGTGTGTGTGCATTTGTGTGAGCTGGGGATTGAACCCAGAGCTGTGCCCACTAAGCTCCATCCCCAGCCCTCCACAAACACCTCTGTACATCGTCCCAGGGACCAAGCTCTGAAGAACAGGGAGGTGGGCCATGCTCTGTTGGCCCTTGTGTTCCAAGCCCTACGAATTCTAGATGTGAGCAGCCAGGGGAAGGAACAAGGCTGGGAGAGGCTGACGGCACAGTATTCTGAGAAGACGGACGGGGCCTGGGACCTCATCAAGATCTGTGATCCACTTTCAAACACTTGGCCCTTCAGAGAGGGAGGGATCCTGAGGGGTTCTGGTTGCTATCTGTAGTGCTGGCAACTGACCCAGGGCCTCACACATGCTGGCAGCTGTTCTACACAGATGAGCACCCCAGAGCTCCATAACAAGATAGCACACAACAGAAGCGGTCCCACAAAGTTTATGCCACATCGCGACTTTGCAGTGAATGACAGATAAATGTAATACAAGGGTGGTAGCAAAGATTATAATGGGCCTGAAAAATCTTATTGCCTAAGGATGCTGTAGCTATTGTAGTGTCATCAGTCATGTGTCCATGATGCTGACACAAACCTATACTCTACCAGTCCTATAAAATAATTCTGCATACAATTATGTGTAGTATATAGCACTTAATAGCGATGATAAATAACTGCCCCTGATTTATGTCGTCACTGTCCTATCATTTCCATCATTATTTTAGTGTACTCTTTCTCTATAAAAACAACAGTTTACTGTAAGACAGTACATCATGTTATGTTGGCAGCAGCCACATACATGTCACGTCTACTGCATCTCCTGATTGATCAAGAGGTCATATTGATAATCAGAAGGCTGAGGCAGTAGAATCACATAAGCCCACAAGCAAGTCCAACCTGGATACCCAGGTAACATACCGATTCATTCCCAAATAAAAATAAAAATTAAAAAACCCACCAGGCTGAGGTATTAATCAATACCATCCAGGCTTATGTAAACATACTGTTCGATAAGGATAAAAGTACTTTGCTATGTGTCTCTTAGAATTATCCCATCACTGAGCAGAACAAGACTATGCTTTTCTAATAATATGTTAACAGCTTTACCCTAATTATTTTTTACTATTAACATTAAAAACCTGAATTGACACTAAAGATTTCTAAAACTTCACTGTACTATGGTCTTACTATAATATACCAAGTATAATAAATTGCCTTTTATTCATTTTAAGACCAATAAACTACTATTTTGTTAAATTATACAAGTATTTTAATCAGAATAAAATGTAACTTATTGCATTAATTTCTGCTTCCACAATTTAAAAGATAACATCTATTACAATTCCAAAAAAACCTATATACCCACTTCAATTGACACCTAAACAATAACCAAAAAGAAACTTCAATCAAAGGTCTCCTTTTTTTTCTTAACACTACAAAGGATATCTCCCATAAATATTAGAACTAAAATTATCTAATCAACACAAACTGTTACGTCTGACTACAACTTTTCATTTCATGAAGAACATTCAACAACAAGGGTCCAATGAACACACTGAAGTACTGTATGATGGGACACAAAGATGGATGAGACATAGCCCTGCTGCCAGAGAATCACAGTCCACTGCAGGCAACACACAAACATAAAATTTTAAAACTATGACAAATGCAGAGACATTACTGCTACCAATACCAGTTACAACTTAATACTTTTCAAACCTTTTCAATTGCCAAGCACTGTTCTAGGTATTTCACATTTATTTATTCAAGGTCTCAATGTATAACCGCCCAGCACACATTATTCCGTTTTGAGGTGGTTATTACAATGTGTCAACTTGGCTATACAAGCTGTTTGGTCAAAAAGCACAGATGAAGTTTGTTTTGTTTTTGGTGTGATTCACATTTACTATCAGTTGACTCTAAGTAAAGCAGAGTCCCCTTCATAATGAGTCTTAATCAGCTGAAGAACAAAGACTCAAGTTTCCAAAAGAAAAAGAAATCCCAACTCTACAAAATGGAAATCCTGCAGGAATCTCCAGCCTATGGGCCTGCCTGGATTTCAGACTTCCCAGCCACCACGATCACTCCAGCCAATTCCCTACCTCCCACATGTACGGGCAGGTGCACGTGTGTGTGTGCACAGGCATGGATGTGTCCTTGTGTGCATAGCTTGTTTCCCTAAAGAACTCGAACAAAGATTTTGGTACCAAGAATGGTCCTAGAAGAACAGAATTTTAAGGCAAGTTTTCTGAACTAGCTCTTCAGTTTCTGGACTACGTTCTCTAAACCAGATCAGATGTGAAGGCATTCACGACTTTATTTCCAGTAGCAAAGAAAACACCGTCTATAGTACACTATGGTAATAGAGAGACACACAAAGTATTCACCTTCGGATATAGCAAATCAGTATTTTTAAGGAGTCAGGCACAGTGGTGCACACCTGTAATCCCAGCCATTCTAGACTCTGTAGGAGGAGCACAAGTTTGAGGTAACTTAGTGAGATTCTGTATCAAAAAAATAAAAAATAAAAAATAGGGCTGGAGATACATAGCTCAGTGGTGGAGCACTCCTGGATTTGATCTTCAGTACTACTCAAAACAAAAACAAAACAAAAAAAAAAAAAAAAAAACAAGGTTCTGGGTCACCATGTATTTAATACATTAAAACATTTGTGCCGAACTAGCAAGTAGTATAAAAAGATGAGCTACCAGCAGCAGCTACCTGCAGTATATAAAGCGAGGAAATAAAAAGATGAACTCACAGATTTTCTTCATATGCAACTTAAGGATTTTCCATAGATATTGGGAACTTTGTTCTACCACACTGTCCATAACAAATTTTACTTGGTCACACACACCAAAAAAAAAAAAGAAAAAAAACCTGCTGACCCACCCGGAGGACAGACCTTTGAGTGCACTATGGAAATTCAAAAAGGGACCCCCAGTGCCCCTGAAAAGCTTTGGCTATTCTTATGATTAATGTTGTTTGTAAGTCAGAAGTTACACCAGGAGCTGCTGCCACAGAATCAAGAAAACTAAATGTAATGGGGATAACTGAATTCCAGAGTGGCAGAGGTGAACCAGCAGCACTCAATACCCAGAGACAAGGAGACATCAGAGTCAAAGCAGCAGTCAGAACAGCCTGACCCGAAGGGACCTTCGGCATTAGCTAGCCATCACAGTGTCCCTGGATGGGAAGCAGACTAGACGACTAATTTCTTATTTGACTATACAAAGAGAAGAATTCCACGGCCGGTGGATTGGAGCCTAACACGTGAATCAATGTAGTCATCATCCCTCAATCAGTTCCCACCCTTCAGCCATTTACTGGCCCAGAATTCCTTGAATGAAGAGACTAGATCCCCTTAAAGAAGCATGCCACTACCTTGCCAGAAACTCACACTGGTAATCTGCTGTTCCTCAAAGCCTCATGCACTGACAGGTGAGAGTTTTTGGAGGCGGCTGAATCCGTGTGATGCTGAGATTAAGGATGTGTGATTATTCTCTGGGTCCACTGATTGATCCAGCAGTTCTGGGAGTGGGTGGTACGAAGGCCCTGCCTTGGACCCAGCTGACTATAGATGGAAACCTTTCACCCTTAAAGTTAACTTCGAGTGTCAGGTATATTTTCTCCTTTAACTTTGACTCCTTTGAGTGTCAGATATTTGGTTTCACCAAAGAGAAAAGTATCCAAGACATCTTTCTATCTTCACCAAAGGAATTTCTGGTGTTTTACTAAAGTGACAATACCATGAGATAAGAAGATAAGGGTCAAACTTCTCAGGGACTAGCAGACACTAGCTCTAATTTTACAGTACCCCCAGAAGACCCAAACATGGGCCAACAGTCACAGTAGTTTATGCAGGTTAGGTGATCAGTGCAGTTTTACCTCAAGTCATTTCACAATGGGTTAAGTGGGCTCTGTTTTTTATTTCCCCAGTTCTGGAAGGTATATGTGAAATAGACATAATCCAGCAACTGGCAGAATCCCTATACTGGTTTCCTAATCTGTATTAGGTACTTCTGACCTCTGTAACTGTAAGACAAAAAATTTCTGGGATTCTAAACCACTCAAAATTTGCTGTACTTTGTTATAGTAGCCCTGAGAAACTAATACACCAGCCATATACACCTGATGAGTTTTATCCTAAGAGTAATGATAGCTTTGAAAGTGTATTAGACAGAGAATACTCTAACGTGATTAAATTAGCATTTCACAAAGAATACAAATTTGCATTTTTCATACAATATGAAAAATGAATTCACTATAGACAAAACCAAAGGTAAAAAATGTCTCTTCAAAGCTGGAGCAAGACTGCGAGTTTGATACTCCGTACCAGGAAAAAAAAAAAAAAAACACAAAGCTGGAGTCTTAATCTAGGTAAAAAATAATGGCAATTCTGAAAGCTACAGCAGTTTAAGCTTAAAAAAAAAAGTGAACAAGAGCAACAGGAATATTTCCACAACAAAAACAAGACAGCCGTTCAGTGTTCTCTTTTGGGTAATTTCTGCTATTGCCACTCCCAAATAATGTTTCAACAAATAACTTCAATTCCTATACTGCTAAAATCTGACTCTGTTCTTTATAGAACAGACACAATTTACCAAAACAGTGTAAGTCAAGGATATTTATTTTATAAAGTAAAAATGCTCATAGTAACATAAATTAGAAATCTACTACAACCATTATTGTCTGAGCAGTTTTAATATTGCTATGGTATTTTGCTAGTATGTATGACATACCAGCTTTTATTCTATTTATGAATATTTCCATGTACTTCATTACTCAACTGCGAAGTTCTGAAGGACAAAGTTATGGCCCCTTATCACCGTGTTTCCATGTCTTACACATAAAACCCACTACTGCTATTTTATAGCTACAGCTATCTTATTGTCATGACCTTTAAAAGTTATAATACTATCAATAAAATGCATTTACCTGTATAGCCCATAAATTTTCCAGGAATTTCTTGATTACAGCAACGACTGCAAAAGATTTGCCCACATAATCGGCAATGGTGCCTGCGTCGGAAGGTTGTGAATTTCTCACTACAGTCATAGCACTCTTTACACTGGCTATCTGGCATCCAGTACTGCTTCAGGTCACTGTCCTACAACAGCAAAAATGTACGAAGTCTTCTTAAGAACACTGATTAAGTTTCAATAGCAAATGAAATCCTAGGTTTCTTTTGCAAAAAATGACAAGCTAATTCTAAAATTCATATGGAAAAAAACGAAGGAGACATATAAGAGAGCTTTCCAATATTCTCTCCACAAATATACAAGATTCATAATGCAATCACAAAAGGGTGGTCCTTCCAAAACATCAGTCTTAGGTCCAACCGGACATCCATGAGGACGAAAAGAAAGCTGAATCCTAGTCACACAGGTAATAAAATGTCTGGAAGACAACAGAAGAATATCTATTACTCTGACCTAATAAGCACTTAAACAGAACACTTGACAATACCTGGCTTTTCCCCTCCATGATTTCCTTGAGACGTTTTAACACTGTGCTGAGGCTTCGAAGCTGAACAGCTGTACGAGGGTCATGACCTCCAAAAGTAGGTTCTGCTTTCCTTCTTGTATCTGAGTCAGATTTAAAAGAAAAAGCAATCTTGCTAATAATTTCTAGTCATCTATATATAACACTGTACACAAGAGATACAAGGTGTCTCCTATTATAGTATATATTTATATTTCCCCAAACATATAGATTAATAATTAAAACTAGCCTTTGTAAGAGTAACAGGTTTTGAACGTTTTCTAGGGTTTCTTGTTTTTGTTTTTCAGTACTCGGGCCTGAGTCTGGGCCTTCTCACTGAGCTGCGCTCCTACCCTTCACCTTTCACTTGGGAAGAGGGCCTCACTAAATCACGTGACAGAACTTGAACTTCCAATCCTGCACCAGCCTCCCAAGTGCTGGGATTACAGGCATGCACCATGCCCAGCTGAAGTATTTCTTATTACAATGTAAAACATTGTTCCCTGAGAAATAAGGAGTCTGGAGATACAGCTCAGCAGCACAGCACTTGCCTGGCAAGCACAAGGTCCTGAGTTTAATTCCTGACACCAAACCAAAAAAAAAGTAGTAATAAGGACTATCTGAAACAAGATCTAAAATGACTGATAGTTCGTTCGGAGGACTGGGACAGGAATACCACTTACATGGCAGAATTTATTAATGATTTCTGGCACTCTGTGATCCCAATCTAAACAAACAACCACTGCACATTTAGTGGAAGAAAAGGCAATCCCAGGGGCTTAACTTAGCTTGGTCTCGAAAGTCAAATAGATAAGCAATAGGAAAAAACAGTTCAGTTCTGGGGCAGATCATCAGAAAGAAATGTACTAGCCCAGCCTCTAAAGGTTCTAAAAGACTTCAGAACACACAGAATGCAAAATTTTACCACAGTAAATATGACCAAGTTCCAAGCACACTAAACTGCTAGCTGACTGCTAAAACTCCAATCCTCCTGCTCCTGTCCTCTCCCCAACCCTGCACCTCACTGACACTTGAAATAACAACACAAAAACCAAATCTGCCACTAATGAAACAAGCCAGTTTTGTGGCCAGAACAGGATATGCCCACCAAAGCTGCCACCTGTTATTTCCTTATTTTAGACCAAAATTAAAACTGATTTTTCTACCTGGCTCCCACAGTTTCAAAACCTAAGGGTAAAGTGAAAGTACTCTGACAACAAACATCAACATGCTAGTAGCCTAAACCTAGCAACCTAGTAACCTACAGAGTACCCCAACCTGAGGAGTCTCCCCTCATCTAGTTTCATATTCCGAGGTTAAATTACCCACAATCTACCTGAGTCTGAAACTACTGTATATAGCTTAACTCTTCCAAGAAAGACCACAGAGCTATTATTAATTATTATTACAATTTATTACTATAGTTATTGTTACTCTCTTACTATACCTAACTGATAAATTAAACTTTATCACAAGTAGGAAGGTATGTATAGAAAAAGGCGTGCTACGTATCGGGTTGGCACAATCTGTGGTTTCAGGCACCTACGAAGGGGTCTTAGACTATATCCTCCACAGGTAAAGGGAACTACCATAAAATAGAAAACATCCACTCTGAAACTCAAACTCATATTTGCTGGGTCTATGTTAGGTGTGTGTGTGTTTGTTTGTTTGTTTGTTTACTTTGGTTGGGTATTCTAGAAAGGAATACAAAATAATGGCAAGTTGACATCTAAATCCAGATTTATAAAGAACTTCATAAGAATTTAATTACTAAGATAACTAGGTATCTAAACTGTTCCTATTTTTGAAAACTTTAATCTTTCTATAGCTATACCCTGGTTTCAGTATATACCTCATATGTTATTAATATGTAAGTTTTAGCATGATAAATTTTTTCTTGAGTCTCAAAAGAAAGCGAATCTTTTGAGGATTTATAGGGTGAAAAAGGACATGGATGAAGCTGTGGGAAGCGCTATCAGGCATGGACAACAATAAATTGTGAAGTCCTTTCATTTAGCTACTAGGAATGCAAGAAAGTATTAACAGCATCATCCACCACAAAGAATGAGTGTGGTCCTTCCCAGAACCACAGCATCATCTCTGAAAATGATGAAGAGACTGAGAGAAAATCTGGCCCATTCATCTTCCCTTATGCAAGTATTCTTAGCTGCTTCTCTAACTACATGGATACTACAAAGCAAACTAACTTCCCTAAGGTCAAAGAACAAGTCAACTGTAGAATACGCTCCCCATTGGCAGGGAAAGGAACTTGTTTGGCCAAACAGTCCGAGGCTTGTGAAGCTCAAATGCCGGCGAGATAGAATCCAGGAGGCAGGTAGACTTCATAAAGGCAATAAAAAGTCTAGGAACCCAGCAAGCAAGACATTACAAGCTCTGCCTAGAGGTATTTATTGAATAAGTCAAGTGTACCACAACTCCACAGGCAAAGCTTGGCTATAATCCCTGAAAGATTAGATTTTAGTCTCGATTTCCTCAATTTTACAAGCAAAGAATTTTTATGCTTAACTCAGAGAACTCTGCCCTCCTTGGCTCCCTTTTCCTCTCTCTGTAGCAAAGCAAAGGCTGGCATTATCTGAAACACTGAAGACTCAGAGTTCACCAAAGAGGCAGCAGATGAAATTTTTCAGACAACAATGTCTCAATTCAGCATAGAAATCACAAGAACTCCCTTCACAAAAATAGAACACTGCCATGGGTCAGATGCAAAAGCTATAGCCTGATCGAGGCTAAAGAACAAAGTGGAAAAGGTGTGTGGAATACAAGAAGAATGTGTTTCTCTCAGCCTCTCCCAATCTTCCAACTCTTCCCTCCAAACTGTTAACACAGCTCGTCCAAGAAAATCTGTGGCAGTGATATGACTCTACAATGGCTGTTTTCACTCAGGGACCACATAGGGAAGACGACCAGACCAGACAGGATCCCTGTGCTGCAGCCCAGCCTTTGTTCTATCACCATGAATTGGGAAACCCACTCCACCGTTTACAGTCCTAACAGAACTAAATAAAACATACGCCACTTTACTCCTCCTACTCTCTTAACTCAACCACTGACCCTCAGCCCACATTCGGAATAGCACGGAAATGAAGATGACTGTGTAGACTGGGGTAGAAACAAGCAAGCTAGGGGAACTCAGTTTACACTGCCACGCTGGCAGTGTGCACCCAACAAGGACCGAGGTTAAGAGCCAGTAGCAGCCTAGCAATAGAGTTGACAGCTCTGCAGCCGGCGGCATGCATATTAGCATCTCAACAACAGACACAAAATTCATTCACAAAGTTGAAACTGACCTGTGTTCTCTTGGGAATGCTGCAAACTGTTTTCTGATGAAACCCAATCAAGTAAGTTTAAAAAAAAAAAAAAAAAGAAACAGTCAAGAGGTGTGTACCATTCCTAAATCAAAGTTTATCGACATGCTTAAGAATTTCTTTCATGTATCAACAATTACAGCTTCATTTATTCTGAAGAATGCATAACTATTTCAAGAGCAGGAAAGTTAAGTCAACAACCAATCTCCAAAGCAAATGACAAGGGGACACTAACACACAGGCAGGCAGAAGATGAGCACACTGCCTTACCTAGGACCGAAGAACGCCGCTGCAGTTCCTCGTGGAGCTGCTTCTTATAAGGAGCAGGTGACCGCACAGACTGAGTCCGCGCAGGAAGCTGAGGGCTGGCCCAACTTCCACTCTGAGGCTGCTGCTCTCCCTGGCCCCCCTCTCCTTTCTCTGCACAAAGGAAAGCTTGGCATTAGTTAAAAACCTAAAGTTCTTTAAAATATTTCGGACAACAATATATGTTAGATGCGTAACTCAAAATTAAAATACTTCTTAAAGCAAACCTTCAAATAGGGCAAAATTATAGGCTAATAATCATATACACATGATATATGTGTTTTACTTTTCATTTGAAATTGTTTGACCATATTAAAAATAAAATGCAAGCTTCACATAAAGGCCTAGATTTTCTGACTATAGTACACATTCTTTAACACTGTTAAAACAGTGCCTAAGTTCTTAATAAGTATTTCCTAAAGTAATAAAGTTTTATGACAACTAAATGTAATATGGTATCTTGGATAGAATTCTGAAACAGAAAAAGAGCATCAGATAAAAATAAAGGAAATCTGAACGAAATACAGAATATACAGTAATTAATACAAATATGTCATTAGTTCATTTATTATTAACTAATATGCCATACTAAAGCAAAACATTAATAAAAAAGAAAACCCAGTGTGGGTGCATATGGGAATTCACTATACTATCTTCCCACTTTTCTGTAAAACTATTCTAAAACATTAAAAATCACTGTCTCAAAAATATACTAACAATTTTTAGGACATTAAACATGACCACTAGTAATATTCAGTTAGTTTTATTAAAATTTCTACTGAGTTGATTAAATTATTAACCCCCTAAGGGATTACTTTCTAACATGCTTCAAATAATAAAGACAAACTGAAAGCAAAAGATACAAGACTGTATTTTTTAAAATTCTTCCAGACACAAAACATATCACTTAAGAAGAGTTCATTTTAAAAGTATCCTTTCGGCTAGGCAAGGTGACACATGCCTGTAATCCCGGCAATGCAAAGGAAAGGCTGTGGGCAGGACAAGTATCCCCAGTTCAAGACCATCTTGAGCTATATAGTGAGACTCTTGTCTTCAAAAACCAAAAATATCAAGACCTAAATAGAAGTATCTCTTCATTTCATTGTACATGTTATAGATGTAAGCCATCACAGTCCTGGTAAACGTTTCCTTCCAATGCACTGCTCCCCCAGTGCCTAATTAAAATCTTTTGGCTATGAATCTCCCAAAAACAAAGTCCATTCTATGAATTTTAAAAGGTTGAAGTACATTAATAAAAAATTTTTAAAAACCATGAAAATGTTACTGTATCTTTACCAAGGGACCTCCTTTTAACATTTAGTTTTCAATTCAAAGTTTGAGTTATAAATAATTAAGGAGACTGCAGTGAAAATTCTATTTTTTCTTCTTAAAGTCTCAAGCACATATGACTAAAGCTATTACCTTGTTAATATTTCACTTTCTTGCAAAGACTCAGCCTGAAAGCTGAGTGAAGGAACCGCAGAGAATCAGAACTAGAAGTTTTCTGGTCTCTAAGAACAAGTCTCACCTTTGTTAAACCGAAAAAGATTTACAAAAGAACTATACGCTGATTTAAACGGTGGTTCATCCTGATCAGGAGTCAAAGGTTTGAAGTGTGTGAGATGTGAAGGACTCGTGGGAGATCGGAGCAGGTCACCAGCAGAGTCCAGGGTTGGGGAAGTCTTATCATCTGTGGCCATTTCATGAGTCTGAAAAAAAAGAAACAAGCGAGAGATGTGTAAGTTTCTCAGAAACCAAAAGCCAATTCCAAACAACAGGCAAATATCTGCAAAGTCCTATACTGTGACAATTATCCCAGAAAAGCAAAAAGTAAATCTAGTTGAGCATATGGGGCTGGGGATTTAGCTCAGCGGCATTAGCACCTGCCTTGAAAGCAGGCGGTCGTGAGTTCGATCCCCGGTACTGATAAAAAAATTTAAAAAACTTTTAAAAATCTAGTTGAGCATATTAAAGTTAACGCTTAAAAGACTGCTTCCTAGAGCGGAAGACTCTAGAAACCTAAAACTGTGATTATATAACCAATCTTACTTCAATATTAATATTCAAATTATAAAAAATCAGAATGAATTTAAACCTTGCAGGAAAGGCATAAACCTGAACACACAAAAAGAAAACACGTTTTCACATCATTTACAGCTCTATGGCTTTTTTTTTTTTTTTTTTCCTTTTTTGAGGCAGGGTCTCGCTGTGCAGTTCAGGCTGGCCTTGAGCTCACTTTGGAGCCCAGGCTGGTCTCGAACTCACAATGATCCTCCTGTATGGCTTTTTTTTGGAAAAAATGATAGTAACTTTTAAAGTTATGGCAAAAACTGGTTTTATGTAAGTATGTAAATATCTTATTTCAACTTCTCTTTGAAAAAAATAACAAACATACATAAGAAAAGGAAACAAAATGGTCAGCCTTGGATGACATTTCCGCATAATCTCCACAATTAGTTCAAACCACCCCTCAACACCTGTAACCCTCAAAGTATAAGCTGCTCTCCATCACCTTTCATTCTCGCGCATGAGCCTGGGTTTTTCTCTTCAAGCCTCAACTTATATATACTAAACACAAAGATCTTCTTAAAGGGCTTTTTATTTATAAATAATGAAAAATCTTAATTTAGTCAAAGCAGTAACTACAACATCACTAGTTAGAGGTTACAGGAAAATGCTGAGGTGTATTGTTTGGCACTTTTCTTATATTTATTTTTATTATTTTAAAGGTTGGTTCACTTTATTATACAATCTGTTATAGAAGACAATTTAAACAAGAACCAGTATCTTTGGCTTTAAGGCATTTAATAACCTGAGTTATGCCAGGCCTGGTGGCACATACCTTTAATCCCAGTACTTGGGAGGCTGAGGGAAGAGGTTAGGAGTACAGACTACACAAGTGAGTTCAAGACCAGCCTGAATGACATAGGGAAACCTTGTCTCCTTCCAAGTAACTCAGTGGAAACTCCAAGATGATATAAGGTAAATGTTAGATGTTAAACACTGAGTTTTTATACCCAAAATCGAAGAATGAATTCAAAGGGACAATGGAGATTAAGAACAGGAAAATTCATTGAAGAAAAGGAATGGGGAACAGGTATGGGGAACGGGTAACAAGAATAGATCCTGAGAGTCAGGAGGGGTCCTGAAGGATTGCCCTACTGTTTGGCATCCAAAATTATACATCAGAAACAGAAAGTGTAACTCTCCAGTTACTAAACTGCTATAGTTTGTAAGCTAATCTACACTTTACAAAGAGGACATTACACTCTTCCACAATACTCTTCTCCTTCAAACTCCCATCTATCATTTCATTTTACCTTTACCATCATCCAGGAAGGCACACAGCCTTACACTACACTGTACCTGAGGCAACCAACACCTGGGAACCTACAACTTCCTTGGGTCACAGACATGGTAGTAGACTTGTGACCAGACCCCAAGGCTTACTGCAAAGTTCTTCTTTAGATCAAAATTCACAGACTTCCAGTCTAGCCTATTTACATTTTGTAACTACTCAAGGCTTTGCCTGATTAATAGCTGATTAGTAAATTAGAGCAGAAATGTAACCACTGACTTGAACAGGATTTCAGGATGTTCACTGGAAGGGAGGGGAATAAAAAGGAATGGAAGATGGAGAGAAGTCTCAGGTTAGGGAATGGTAGAAAACAATCCTAAAGTATCATGATAAACCATAATCCAAGATAAAAATTTGGGAAACAAGACAATGATTGATCAAGTATAAACTCAAATTTTCTAGCCGGGTGTAGTGGCGCATGCCTAAGTCAGGAGAATCACCACAAGTTCAAGGTCAGCCTGGGTCACATAGTAAGTTCCAGACCAGACTGAACTGCATAGCAAGACCCTTGTCTCCAAAAGAAAGGTCTAAATCCAAGTTTTCTGACTAGGGGTGTAGACTGGCAGTGGAGCGCTTGCCTATGTGTACAAGGTCCTGGATCCAGAATGACCAAACAAGAAAAACTAAACAAAAGATTACTGCTTTATCTTTCAAAGAATACAGGATTTTTGCTTTTTTTTTTTTTTTTTAAACAAAACAAAGGACAGTGTGATGACAGTAACAACTCTCAGGCCCTGGAAAACAGCCTACATTCTATTTCCTCAAAAGTAATATCAAACAGAGTTAGCAATCTGCCCGACGGTCTTAGAATGATTTCTAAAGGTCATCTAGACACAAAATTTTCATCAGGCACTTGACAAACCAGGATCAAAATTGTCATCAAAACATGCAGCCAGTCTCTAAAATATACGTTATATGTAGTTCCTCATAAAACTAATAACAGTCCTCATTTTTTTGGCATCTTAATAACTGTTCATAATATAAATGAAGATTGTTTCCTAAAAGGTAGTCAGAAAACTTAACCTATCTATGTAAAAACCTCTAGAGTTCCACCAATAATTTGCCTCTCCCTATTTTGAGGCCAGTGGAGTAAATACTACAACTCTTTTGTTGGTAAAGCCAATCATTAAGCTAATTAGGTCTTAAAATGTAGAAAATAAATTGATCTGTCAGTCAATAGCAAAATTTTAAGCAGAAAATCCACATATCAATCCGGTCATTTCTGACAACTTTTTTAAATACTCAAAGTTTATCTGATAAAGTGAGACAACTGAATACTAGTAACAGTAGCTTCCTTCAGGAAAGCTTTCTTGTTTAACTACTGGCCAATACATCAACAGAAACAGTAAAAGAAAAAAAATTACATGACCCATATTACTTTTCCCAGAAAAAAGAAAAAGGGAGGGCTCTGGAAATTATCTTGTATCTCAGAAGAGACTTAACCAATCTTTGTCAGAGGCCCAAACCAAAAAGAAAAAAGAAAAAAACTAAAAACATTTTTTGTACGAATAATGACAGACTGGGGGTTTGGGAATGGCACAAAACAAGATTCAAATAAGTAAGAAATAAGAGAGCGCAGTATGTCAAACAACTACCGCTACTATCAATATTGTACTAATTTTACAGCACAAGATGCACTGAACCAATACTTAGTAATTTAACATATCCCACCAGAAATAACTCGCTTTACACAAAATTCTAGAGATTCTCTTATTTCTTGGCTATCTTAGGAAAGATCCACTGCTCAACTGGACAGAACCCTCCTCCCTCCGCAAATGCCTAGAAGTATCCACCCACTCCATTCCCATGCTTCTGGTTCGAAACATTCTTTTAAAAGGGGAAATGTAGCACTAATTGGAAGAACCAGGAGATCAAATCTCCCCCTCAAAAAAAAAAAAAGACTTTGAAATAGTGTACTGACGTGGAGTCGTCTCGCATGGCGGAATTCGGGGAGACATACACATATGGGAGACCCTGCACTGGCGACGAACTTCTCCCGCAGCTCATCCCCCTCCCGCCTAAATTCGCGCTCTGGGACCAGGCGCAGAGCAACTCACAGCTGTCAAAGGAGCCTCCGCGACGCGCCCCTCCCGGCTGCCGTACCCCGCACCCCGCAGCGGCGCGGCCTGGGACCCCGGAGCCCACCAACCCTCCCTCCGCGCAAGTCCTCTGCACGACTTGGCCCAGCCACAGCCACAGCCCGGCCTCCAGACCCCGGCGGAGGGGCCCCGGCTCTCGCTTTACCTCCGCTTCCCTCTCCGTTCCGGCCCGGCGCGCCGCAAGCCGGCCTCCTCCCCACTACCGGCCTCAGCGGGCTGCACCCCAGGTCCCCTCCTGTACCTGCACCTCCCGCCCCAGCCCCGCCGGCCTCCCTGCGCCCCGGCCACCGCTTCACCCCGCTCAGGCGCAGGACGCCCGCCGGCAGCGCAGCTTCGAGACGCTCGGGCGGCCGGCGGTAGCAGCAGGAAGCGAAGCTGCTTACACTGTTGCTGCGGCGTTTGGCTTCCCCCCTAAGCTCCACCCCCTGTTCCTCCTCTCCGCCAATGCTCTACGGATCCCGAGCACAAGCTCCACCCCCTGCTCCCCACCCGCCTGACGCACGGATCAGATGCTCAAGCTAAAGCAGTCCAATGCAGAGAGTGTCGAACTCGTCAGTTTGACAGAAATTGTGGGAAGCAAGCCCTTCAGCCCACGTGAGCATCACGCGCACCCGGGACAGTGCTGGCTTTCGCATGTGTAGCATAGATCAGTTGAGAAATAAGAAGCTTCACATCACACTTACAAGCGCCTCCAGTAATTAGCAGAGAGCCTTAGACAAATAGCTTCTTTCTTTGGGGGGTAGGGGGTGGCGACAGGGAGGTGTGGATTTTTTTTAGTTTATTACTGTCTGTTTGCGATGCTTGATAATTACATTCGTTCAGGGAAATTAGTACGCACATACATTGTGTCTTGATCCCTTACCTTTCTCTCTCCACCTTCCCATTCCCCATCTCCCCAAAGTCTGCCTGGTTCTCTGAGGTTAATAATGGCAATACCATTTCATACATAGTTTGTTTGGTTTTTTTTTTTTTAAGGGTTAAGTATAATAAGGCAAATAAAGCAACTGGCACAATCCCTGACACGGAGTGAGTCATGTTCACTCATATTTTGTGTTGTAAATGCGAATTCAGATAAGTTTACTAAATCCTGACTGCTCAGATCATTGTTTTCCTGTTCAGAGTGCTGTGGAAGTAATTATAGAAAGTATAACCAAACCTTTGGACTGAAATCAGAGGTGCTATTTTTATTCAATTCTGCAGATCCTGCTCCTCAAAACTTTTGGCAAATCTCCACCCATTTCTCCTCAGTTGGTCTCTTCCACTGCTGGAGCTGTGCCACAGAAACCTGCAGGTTGGCACCAGCACCAGTTCTGGTTGTTCTCCGGAGCTTCAGCAGACTTCCTAGAGCTTGTATTTAGCTGCTTCTTCCATTGTTCGCAGCTGTTTGAAACCTCTCCTTCCCTTTACCTTGATTATCATTTCCAGCAAAGAAGCTCATCTCCCCATGGAAAAATTTCTTTTGAGTGCAATGTTTAAGGACCCAGCTAATCCCACCTCAACATCCACCTGCCTCCGGTTCTACCCTGGCCTCCTCTCTTCCCTTCCTCTGGGAGAAGGAAGCCTGTTCTATCCCAGTGCAATCTGCCTGGGACCCAGTCCCTGGACGCTTGCCCTGTATTTGCAACCAAACCTTTTCCAATGACTTCCTCATCAGCCCATAAAGGTTCTCAAGTCTGTGCTTTCTTTAAAAGAAAAGAAAAGACAAAGTCTTTAAATTTTCTGGGTGTGGTGGCACATGCCTATAATCTCAGCACTTGGAAGGCTGAGACAGGAGGATTACCCAATTCAGTTAGCCTGCACTATATAGAGTACAAGGCCAGCCTAAAACCACATAGAGATAACCTGTCTCAAAAATAAAGTCCTTAAATGAACCCACCAGGTGTTAATATTTCATAAATTTGTAATAAAATATAAAATAAACCCAGAGATAATATGAACAGTCCAGGCAAGAAGCACCTGTTGTACAGAGAAGCTCCATATATATGGTAAAAAGAAATATCCATTTGACAGACATTCTTTTGTCACTAACTGTAACAGCAATGTGTTAGTTAGGCATTACCTTAAGGATAAAACTGTCAATGTAACAAAAGTCTGTATCCTCAGGAAGCCTACAATCCAATATCTATGTGAGCTTCTGGTTTGATTTCTGTGGGAAAGTAGATAGAAAACTCATTCCCTGCCACTAATATGCAATGGTTGCTATTGTAGTCAGGGGTTGTGAGGAGAACCATTAGAACAGGACACAATTTACAATATTATTTTATGATGGTCACCCAGAGTAACACACAATAAAGTGCAAGAAATCTATCCACAACACTAAAGACATAGAATATTCAGCCAAGGGCTTGAATTCCACAGCAATGTCCTGCATGAGTCCAAAGGAAAACCTAGAGCCATGACAATGCCTCCCACAAATCCACCTGGAGGTCTAGAGCCCACAAGAAGGACTCACACCAGTCTCTTTTACAGATCTGGGCTGGGAAGTCCTAAAGATCAGCATTGAAAGCTAAAAAGTCTATGCCAGCAGGGTGTAGGAGCTGTGCTGGTAGGTTGAGGGTTCTACACTGGAGCCGAGAAGTCATGGTCAAAACAAAGACCAGGGCTGCCCTAAAAAGCACCACAGCCATCCTCAGCGACACGGAGGCCCCGAGCTCCTCCAACGATAAGCATTCTTGAGTACATGTCAGGAAGTCAGCGTGACGAGTTTCTCCTGGAGACCAAGCGGCACACATCTTCCCCTCCTGAGCCAAAAAACAACACTCTATGTGAGGACCAGAGCTTCTCCAGAAGAACCTAACAGTTCAAACAGCAACTCGTAGAAAACCCCACAATGTCTCAATACCTCAATGTACCTCAACACACAGCTTCTTCACCCCATCTCTATTTATGCTAGCAACTTTCTTCAGGTGAAACATCTACGCTCAGCGTCCTGCTAATGTAATCCAGCTGGCATTAAGTTGACCACCAGTTTTTGATCCATAACACTTTGCCTGTATTATAATTGGGTTATATGTTTTCTTACTAATGAGCTATTTGAGTTCCTTGTAGATTTGGATAGTAGTGCCTTACTAGATGTGTGGTTTGTCAATATTTTCTCCCATTCCATAGGTTGTCTATTTATTCTTTTGATTGTTTCCCTAACTTTTGAGCCCTTTTTAGTTTGCTATAATCTCATTTAACGATTTTGTTTTTGTCATCTGAGCTTTTGAGCAATACCTACCCCCAAAATCATTACCTAGGTCAATGTTGTGGCACTTATCTTCTAGGTTTTGTTCTAATAATTTACATTCTCAGGTCCTGCATTTAGATATTTAATCCAGTTTGACTTTATTTTTGTATATTTTTTATATAGGTTGTCATTTTATCTTGTTTCTCTAGCTTTCCAGTTGCTTTGTAGTTTGATATAATCTCATTTGTCTAGTTAGCTTCTCTTGTTTGAGCAAGAAAAGCCCTTGTTTTTGACATTGATGTCTTCTACATCTAACGTGTTGAAAGTGCTTGTTTTCTGATCCAGCGTACACATCTTGAATGTTCCCTGCTCCAAGCCTTGAATCAACCAGTTTCTACTGTATGCTTCAGTAGGTAATGCAAAGTCATCTTCAAAAATCATGAAACTCAGTTGTGACAATACAATGGGTTAGCACTCACTATACTGCATATGAAAATATGTTAGTGTATCCCTTCTACAAAATCATTTGGTGGATCTATGATGCAACTTGATGTTTTTACTCTCATCCAATAATTTCAAGTTTAGTCATCTGGCCGACAGAACTGATCCAACTGTTTGAAAAAAGTTGTTTGTCATAGTTATTAAAACAAAATAAATGAGAAAACTAGCAAAAACAATACATATGACAGGCAAATAATACAAATTATAGAAGATGAAGTCATTGAAAATTATGTTTAATAAAACCTTATAACATTGGACACACGTGTAAATATCACACAGTTTCTCTGGTGTGAGAAACTGAAGGTGTAAATAAGTTCCAAAATGTATGATAGATATTGTGATATAGGAAGAAAATGTTCAAATGGGAAGGGGACCTCGGGATGGGGGAAGAAGGAAGGAAGGAAGGGAAAGAAAAAAGTGAATAAAGGAAGAAAAAATAGAACAAAGCTTTTGTAAATAAGGAGAGAAAGAGGGGTTGAAAGGAAAGTATGAGGAGGAATGAGGGGGGAAAATCAAGTTGTATCCGGTACAGGTAAAAATCCCCTACGATGAATGTGGTCCAGTGTATATCCAAAATGCACCAATAAGCTTAACTAATACAAGTAAATAAGACCTTTTATGCTTTTTTTTCACTTCACAGTCAACTGTCTTGCAAGGTTTTTGTCTCTTTCCATACCTCCAAACTCCTGTAGTATACTTTCCATCAGAATCTCGCTCCTAAAATCCTTTTACTAAAAGTGCATGCACAAAGGAGTACCTACTTGCCAAAATTATTTTAAAGCACTTTTTAAAATCACTTCATGGTGCTCCCTCCTTTTTGAGAGCTTTATCTGCTGGCTTCCATTGTTGGAGTGCTTGCTGGTTCTCCCACCGCCAGGTTCTCTGTGGTGAGCTCCCTTCTTCTGGGTAAGTATCCAAGTTCAGCCTGAGGCTGTAGTCCCAAATAATCTCACTGTGCCTTCAATTACTCTTACTCTATGCTAAAGATTCCCAGAATCCTCTCTCCAGCCCAGATGTCTCTCCCGGCTCCGGGACATCCTTATTGTACTATTCCACAGGGTTTCTGACTTAGTGAACCTTAACCTTAACTACCTTGGCCATCAAATCTGTGAGTGTGCTTTTCTACTTCTCCTTAACCTGTCACTCGGACTCCAGCTCAAGTCACCTTCTCTGTTGTCCCTCTCAGAATCTTCACGGATAAGGATGATCAGGCCTTGTTCATTCTACCTTGTCATTTGTTTGTTTGTTTGAGATCATCAAAATGACAGTAAACAACCTTAGGATTTTGCGGGGGGGGGGTCTTTCTGAGACAAGGCTCTCTTTATGCAGTTCAGGCTGGCCTTGCACTCACTTTGTAGCCCAGGCTGGACTCAAACTCGCAGCAATGATCCTCTTGCCTCAGCCTCCTGAGTGGTGGGATTATAGATGAACACCACCATGCCCAGCTCTATGGAGATTTAAGATAATTTCATTTTATAAACCCTAACTCTTAAGAGCATCCCAAAATCATATACTCAGAAAGATCTCATGACCCAGGTTTATTTTGGTGTTTATAGTACTTGGGCACAGATATTATTAAAATGTTCAGATTCTTTTATTAGTCACATAAAAGAAATGATGTCAAGACACACAACATTAACCATACAGGGGAAAGTCACTGGCTAAATTAAGCATCATTTGGCATCCAATAGAGATTGGCCAGTGAAGCCAGGATGGCAGTGCATGCCTATAACCCCAGCACTCTGGAGACTGAGGCAGAAGCATGGAATATTGGAGCCCCCACCTGGACACCCGAGGTCTTAAGGAGACCATGTCTCAAAATAAAAAAATTAAAAAGGGCTGAGGATGTAGATCAGTGCACTGGCTGTGTTCACTCTCCAGTGACAGAAAATAAAAATGAACAGGTCAGAGAAAAAAACTTACATGTGAACAGCTAGCTTCATACTCACAGTTTAAGCAGTAATTTGATTCCAAACACCAGTTGTTAAATTTTGTTGATGTTGTTCATGTTTTGCCTTTCCAGCTATTTAGTATTTTATTATTTATTATTAATTTATTATTAACTTATGAATGTATTATTTTAGTCATATAAGAACTCTTATGATGAGTATATTTTTATTTTAAATAAAACAACTTTATTGAACTCAAGATTTGCTTACTACACAATTTATAAATTTAAAGAGTAGGATTCAGGGCTGGGGATTTAGCTCAGCAGCATAAGCACTTGCCTGGCAAGTGCGAGATCCTGAGTTCGATCCCCCGTACCAAAAAAAAAAAAAAAGGTAGGATTCAATAGCTGTTTAGCACACTAATAGTGTTGTATAATAACAATCACAAACTTTGGTTGTTTTGTTTGGGGTTTTTCTTTGGGGGGGGGTCTTGTAAGGTTCCAATAGGACCTGACTTTCAGCCCCCAACCCGCTTGCCAACAGAAGCACTATCCTCAGCAAGAAACTCAGCCAACACCAAAGCTGTCATCAGACATGCACAGGGAAGAGATAAACTAGGACAAGGAATTTTGCCCCCCCCACCAGGGGGACACATGGAGACACCCAAAAATTTACAAGGGAACTTCAAGGACCCTGCCCACTGAGACACAAGGCAGTCAGAGAACTTTGACTACAGATGTTTATTAAAATCTTCCTGCCTAATGTGTCCCCTGCCTGTTTCCTTCCCTATAAAAAGGGACACATTACCCTTCATTCCCAACAGACAGCCTGACCACTCTCTGCCTGCCTGCACACAGGTATAATGCCATATGCCTTGTTGCTATCATGAAAGCCCGTGGAGTGGTCTCTTGCCCGCATTCATTAGAGCTTTGGTTTTTTTGAGACATGTTTTCTCTATGTACTTCAAGTCGCTGTTACCTGGGCTAGCCTGAAATTCACAGCAGGCATGTGCCACCACACCCGCCCTGCCCAAGATTTATTTATTTGGCCAAGATTTATTTTTAAATGTGTATTTTTAGTAGTATTTTAAGAAAGTCAATCCCAGGGATGGACCAAAAAAATGTTTTTCAATTAAAAAACAGTTCACATATCACTTACTTAAAGTACCATTTTAAATGTGAGTATCCCTCTCCTTATAAGTGCCATGTTTCATACGAATTGATTTAGAACCAAATTGTAAAGGCCCATTCTATATAATTGTTAGGGGAAAAACATTTCATAATTAAATTGTGATTAGGGCTTGTCAAAGGCCTAGTGCTTTGCTATGTGGCCAGCTATGGTTTACAGGAACAAAATTCCATGTGCCTCCCATCACAGTTAAAGCCTCAATGGTTCCATGATGCTGTGATGCCCCAAGGCAAGACTGCACCAGCTAAAGTCATCCTGGTTCCTTTTATTATCCAGAGATAATAAAAATAGGGTTTCACCTTGGGGAAAGGCCAAACTTTCTTAACCTGCCATCTCTCCCCACTGTCCTCATCAATTAGCATAAGATAACCACCTGTCTCCAGGTCATCTGATAACCACTCTGATTCCTCTGTATATTCACTAAGTGGAGTATCATTGTCTCTGCCCATCCTGAGGCACTGACCTCCCAATCCCCCTGCTTTACTAAATTCCTGTTTGTTGTTCCATCTTTTTGCCATACCCCTCAAACAGGGAGATAGGGATCACAGCCAAGTTCCTGATATCAAATCAGCAGTCTATCTCTTGCCAATGTTTAGAATTTGATGGAAGATGTTCTTTAGAATACCCTGTCCCTGTGCAGGTATTGATTTTCTTTTTAATCTCATTTTCCTTACATATCACCAATACTGCACATGCATCTAAATCCTTTCTAGATCAAGAATTCATATAAATGTTTACTTTTAGTAGGAATCAAGGGATCATAAACTATGAGACTGACATGATGTATTAGTCAGGGTTTTACTAGAGAGAACAGTTGTAACACAGAGATATACAGATGTAAAAGAATCAACAAGATTGGCTTATGATGGTCAGCCACAGAGTCCGATGAGGAAGCGTGCAGAGGGTGTCTACATACTGGAGGCCAAAGGATTCAATCCAAGGTCTGGAGTTCACCCTAGTGTCTTGTGCAAGTCCACACCAGCAGGCTGATGGGTCTGTGCCAGAAGGCCAAAGGCTCTACGATGAAAGGCTAAAGAACCTGTGCTGGAAAGTTCAAGGGTCTACACTGGAAGCCAGGAGTCTAGGTCCAAACCAAAGGAGAAGACTGGAGCTTCTCCCAAGAATGGAATGCATTCATCCTTCCTCTTTCCCTTTTATCCCTCCAGTGATGAGCCACCCTAGGGTGGGTCTTCTTCTATATCCTTGGGTATAGAATTGCTACAGGCATTTAGTTAAGCTTCTAAATGTCTCAAATTGACACAATCAACCACTACACATGATATAGAACAAAACAATCTTAGATGACTTAGACTCTGAGATGAAAATACAAGCACATTCACATTCCTGCAAAAATAAAGAAGTGGCTGCTAATATTTTTCAATCTACATCCCAACCTAACATGGTGGAGGGATGCTTTCCTCCTCCTCCTTTTCTATTTGGGAAAAATGCCAGCGCCCTGTAGTGAGCAAAATGCACACAACTAGCACGCTCCATAATCATCTTCTAAAGGTAATGTTAAAATCCAACGCCACACATAATTTTGAAAAATAAATTTTGAATCTTAGGCATACAAGCAGGCTATTAATTACATTACACATAAGAATAAAAATGCTCTTTTCAAGACTAAGAAATGAAAGAATAAATTTCTGAGAAACTAGGTTTATTTAATCAATTTTCTAGCTTAGCTTTATTGGAACCCAGAAAATAAACTTTTTATTTTTATAAGGATAGAGATAAGATAGAGGATAAGACAGAGACAGCGCTTTCTCACTGACCTACATTCCCAGTCTTTTTTTATTTTACTTTTTGACACAGGATCTCGTTCATTCTGTTACTTGCCTGCCCTGGAACTTGGATCCTCCTGCCTCGGCTTTCTACAGTACTGGAATTACAGATGCGCGCCATACTACCGCACCCTGTTTGCTTTATTATTTTCTAATGCAAATGATAGATAGGGCTTATTTATAGTAAACAGTAGTAACGGGAAGTAGAGATACAGAAGCCCACGAGACCTCGTGATGGTGGTAGCAGGCAACATTGGCAGCTGCACGGCCGCTCGCGTGCGTCCACAAGTTGCACTCCGGTAACCCCGAGAGCCCTCGGCAGAAGCCACGCTTCGCCACAGGCTCCAGTTTAAGGCCTGAAAGGGGCCGCTTGGGGGCGCTTCCCCGCCCCAGACGGATTTCAGAGCCCGGGACCCCAAGCCCAGCGCGCGTTCCCGCCTGCAGGTGACGCTCGTGCTCCCCCGCGGATGGGCCCGGGCGGAACCTTAGCAGCCCTAGAGTGCACTTGGAGGGCTGTGCCGCGGAACCGCCTGTTACACCTTCGGCCCCGCCCTTAGTCTGTCCCCGCCCACCACGGAGGCGCAGGCGCTCCGCGACTGGTGGCGCGGCAGGGGCGGGGCTCCGGGAGGTGGGCTGAGGGGGTGGGGCCCGGGAGGGGACAAAAACCCAGAAAGAGAGCGGTGCGGCTCCGCCCTCCGGTCCCTAGTTTGCGGCGCTCCGTGTTCGAAGCTAGGTTGCGGGGCTCGGGAAGGACTGCCCGTGTGCGTGCGTGAGAGAACGTGTGCTTGCCGCGGCCGCCTGGAACTCACTGCAGGCCTCTCCCTAAGGTAAGCTGGGTGCTGGCGGCGCCCGGACCCTCGGGCTGCTGGGGGAGGGGGCTCTGATCCACCGGGCGGCGGGGCGGTTTGCACGAGGCCTGGGTTGGGAGCGGCTAGCGGGTAGGAGAGCCAGTGAGGGTCGAGTGTTGACTGTTGGGTGCCCTGGGGTCGGAGGAGCCTGTCGCCAGCGCGGCGACCAGAAGGGGGGCGGAAGGCTGCGTCCACCGGAGCCGAGGGGCGCGGTTCGGGCTGCTGTCACCGATGATCGCCCGGCCGCCAGCCCTGTTCCTCAGCCGGCTGCCCACGCTTGGACCAAAGGTCCGGGTCCCACGGAGGGAAGCGGCTGGCCTTGGACATCGGGAAGGAGGAACCAGGCCAGCCTGGGTTGCAGCCCTGTTGCACAACAGTAACAAGGACACTGCAGGTTCCTAGCGTCACCCAAGGACGCTCAAACCTCTAGATGCACTGGCCGGCGGCGAGCTGGGACACGCCCTCGGAGGCTCCTACAGCTGTTTTCACCCCGTTGACCTTTCTTTGCAAAGTGTCTGCGGATTGAAACCTGCCCTTTACCCTCTCTGGATACAGCACAGCACTGCACTTTAAGCCTGATAAACCGTGCGATCTGGCAGGTATTAAAAACAGCTAAATCCTCCGACGGGATTGTTTCCTACATTATGACTTTATATTCCCGATTTTGTTTTGATTTAGGAGATAAACTGCGTTTAGTTAAGTCTGCAAGATTGGGGATTGACTAGAAATCAATCCGTTTGTAACGATGAGCATTAGCGATTTCCTCTTTTGTACTTTCTTTGATGTAGCACTGCAAGGGAAGCAGGACTATGTCCAACAATAAATTCCTTGTTGCTTTTGTCCAACAATAAATTACCAACAACTCTGCTCAGCAGAACTTTTTTTCCCAGATAGTATCTTGAATTCAGCTTAAAAAAAAAAAGTTAAAAGATGGGCTTGATATAATTAAATAGAGCAAAGGGCATATTTTTCCTTACACTACATGCTTAAGACTCCAAGTTAATTTCTGGAGTAGCACAAGTATGTCAGGAGATGAGAATTCCGGTGCCTTCTCACTGGGTAAGTGTAATGTGCCTTTGGATCTCTCCTTCCTTCTGAAGTTGGGGCTGAAGGGGGCTGAAACGCTGAGACACAGGGATGCAGTGCATTTTGTGGCACCCAAACCCTGCCCCTTGGAAATCAAGCCCAGAAAAAAATGTAGTAATTAGTAATGTCTTACATAGTACTAACAATGAAGCTTCACTTTTAAAAGTGGACAAATAACTTGAGGACAACCTGAAGAGTCTTCCTTACACATGATACAGTGTAGAAAAATTACTGTAGAGCATGTCTGTGCTCACTGAGAAGGAAACAATGAAATGAAAGAAGTAGAGACACTCAGTTCTGATATTTTAGAACAGGGTCTGATTACCTGTTACATGTATTTGGTACCAAGAAAAAAATAGCCGAATCATGTTGTTGCATAATATTGTGTAAGAACACGACCATGAAAATATAATATCAAAACCAAGGTAAGTCTGCTGCTTCATGTTTTTGTTTTGTTTCAAGATTTTGCTTAAAGTGAGGCACAGACCAGGCATGGGCATTGTGACACTTGCCTTTAATTCCAGAAAGATCACTTCCACTTCAAGGCCAGCCTTGGCTACATAGTGAGTTCAAGGCCAGCTTGAACAATATAGCAAGACCCTGTCTCAAAAAACCAAAACCAAAAAAAAAAAAAAAAAAGCAAGGTGTAAGGGTGGTAGCATCCTAGACTTGAAAGCATTCTAAAGTAGTTGCTAAAAGTACTGATAGGAGGTAATTGACACACCTACACCATTTTTTTTCCCCATTTTTTATTCCAGTTGAGTTCCAGAAGGTTCCCTAGTTCCCTAGTAAGCTGGATTCAAGATTTGCAGATTTGGAAAGTAGAAATGGCCCTGAGGGTTAGCAATACACCCTGGCTTATCTTGAGGAATTAAGGTTTATTATCTGCTAATATAATTTTTATTTAAGAACTAAATTACTGTAACTCCGTTTTTCAAGAAAAATTTCTGAGTTTCTTACCTAGTAATATTTTTAAAGTCATTTTCCTGAGGTCAGTATTCAACTCCAGCTCCGGAGATAAAAGCAATCTGTAGTTGTGTCCTTAGTGGGGAAAGGGCCAGATACTTTTAGCCAACTCAAAGCCTCTTTGCCTCTCTGGTAGCAATCATAGGACACAGCCTTGCAAGCCTCTTCTTCTGAAGGATCCACCATTGTCCCTTCTGGGAACCAGTTGCTTATTTAGCGTTGGCTGCCCACTCGATTCATTCTTACAGAGGCACGCCTCCTTCTAGAACAGTGCGATGTTCCCAAGCCTCCAAAGCCCGGGGTAGGAGTTGCTGCACGGAGGAATGCCCTTTCCTCTGTATCCGATTTCTCTGAGAATCTACTTTTGGAGTCACATCTCTGATGTTTGTGTTGTGAGAAAGCAGTTTCATCAGAAATTCTAAATCTTTTACCTTCCAAGTTCCCTGAGTATGAGGGCCCGAGAGCCAGGTAAATGTCCTCCCTTTTTTTTTTATTAATTTTTATTGGTACTTTTTATACTTTAGATATACATAATGATCATGCTCACCATAGAGAAATTTGTACCTGTGCTTGATATATCTTGATTCTTCTTTTTCCCCATTTCCCTCCCCTCCCTTCAACCCTTCTCCCCCTCCTTACTGACAAAAGCTTTGTTTCTAATTTTCCTTCTCTTCTCTTTCTTTCCTTTTTCCTTTCTTTTTCTTCCTTTCCTAGTTCCCCTTTCCACTTGAATATTTTCTTCTTATTCTGAAATATCTATGATACATTACATTTTGGTCCTTATTTATACTTTTGGGTTCTTACACCAGAGAAACAATATATTTAAGCATGTGTGCCCGATTTATTTCATTAATGAGTAGTCTCTAGATGCATCCATTTACCTAGAAATGTCTCAAGTTTATCCTTCTTTATGGCTGAGTAGTACCCCACTGTATAAAAAAAAACCCATGTCTTTCTCTGTTCCATGGTTAATAGGTTTTTGGGCAGTTTCCAAGATTTAACTATTATAAACGGTGCTGCTACAAACATGGGTATGCATATATCACTGTGATATGATGCTGTGAACTCTTTCAGGAAGATAGCCAGAAGGGGACTAGCTGGGTACGTGTCCTCATTCTGCTCATCTTGCAGGCCCAGTAAAATAAGGAGTAGGGTAGAAGTCTCAAATAATGTGATGTTATGGAAGAAGATCATTTCCTAAGACAAAGCAGTAGCAGGAAAGATGGTTTTATCAGGGGCGTGTTACAGGGTCATCCCACCCCGCCATGTCGTAGCCACAGAGTCCTTAAAGTGGGAGGTGATTTCCATCTTACAGGGCTGTCTCGTGGGCTGACCCCAAAGCACAAGTGCAACAGGTCAGTGCAGCCCTGCATACTACTGAGAGTGCTCAGCTCTGCTGGTAACCAGGATCAGCGCTGTTAGGAACTGTTCTTTTAAGAGTCACCAAATTGTTTTCATTTCATTTTTCCTTTAGAATGAAATAAATGATAAGGCATATATCATTTTTCCTTTTCAGGTTTATTGTCAGTAAAAATGTCCAGAAAGATCCACGGCGGTTCGGTGGTAGAGATGCAAGGAGATGAGATGACGCGCGTCATTTGGGAACTGATTAAAGAAAAGCTCATTTTTCCCTACGTGGAACTGGATCTACACAGGTAATGAATAACCCCCTGCGCAGCCAGCAAACTCAGAAAGCAAAGTCTAAGTCGCATCAAGGCATCGTCGGCTTTTTTTCATACAAACGTACCTGTGTTTTGTGGCTAAAACTTTTTTTTCTTTTTTAGCCCAAATACATGATGAATCTTCTACTTTAACAGAGGGTTTATAATTACTGAAAGGGCAAGAATTAAGAAGCAAACAAAATAATTTTCAGGTCTTTCTAACCCTCTCTTTCCTGCACAAGTTTTATTTGTAGAAGAGAAGTATATAGAGGATGTAGGAAACAACTCAAATGTAGTGGGCACAATTTTGCCCTTTCGGGCTTGGTTTTCTAACTCTGTGTTTAGTTAGTCTGCAGTGTTTTTCCCTTATCGTGGTTCCTCTTGCCTTTTGCCCTTTTCCTACAATTGCTGCAAAGCTCTTTGTACATTTGAAACAGACTCTGTCTGCTTCAGAGCTGATGTGGTGTAATACCGAGTAACATTTCTGACAAAGTATTGGTGACTGTAAGCCTGTTTGCCCTGACTCAAAATTATTCAGAATGCATCCCAAAGGCTTGTTACTAGCTTGGGTGTGAACAGTTCTTGTGGTGTCATTCATTTTAATTGTTCTTAACTTAAGCTGCTGATAACATCTACATTGCAACCACAATAAAGGAGTAAAGGCTGTGCTGCAGAGGTTGACCAAATGTAGAGGAAAGGAAGGTAAAAAACAGCTTCCAAGCCAGGTACAGGGGGGCACACCTGTAATGCCAGAGCTCAGGAGGCTGAAGCAGGAGGATTGCTGGAAGTTTGAGGAAAGCCTGGGCTACATATAGCAAGACCTGTCTTTAAAACTAGCTTCCACATGGATTGAAGAAGCATTTCATGAGCTTTGTATGACAGTGGGTGAACTTGGAGGATTCCTCAGGGCTCTGTGTAATGATTACCTTTTCGTAATAGAGTCCTTACACCTAGGAATTAAAATCTGTTACAGAATGAGGAACTTGTGGAGGCTCAGAAAAATTTCAGGTAATTCCAAAATTACTGTTACTACCACTGGGTTCTTAGGGGAGCAAAGTGTTTTTGTTTTGTTTTGTTTTTATGTTTAAGCTGTGGTCAAAATGTCGCTGCCTGTTTACATTAGGAGTTGTATTGCAGTAAGAGACACTACCATTAATTCACTCAAAATACTTCTGTTTGCCTCGAATCCATTCACCCCATCATTTTGCCGCTTTCTAAAGCGGCCTGGAAGTCCTCATTCCTGTGCTCGTGAGGTCTGATAAAAGGCACAGGGAATGCGGCTGCTGGCTGCCACCCAACAGAAAGGCAGCTTCCTGAGGTGTGTCCTCATTCACCTCGTTTGCTGGCACACTGGGTGACTTCCGACTCTTCCCCAGAGTCAAAACCAGGACAGAGCCTTCGCTGTCATCCTGTAATGATGTGATTAGTTCTGTAACATGCAGTATGCATTCAATGTGTGTGAAGATGGGGACAACTATTTGGAAGAAAACTAGAGACAGTAAGATAGACGTGAAGATCTCCAGTGGACTTGATTTGAAATCTGTATTTCTTTAAATTGTTTCTTTATGAACTGTTTTGTTCTGTTTTGATATGTATAATCTTACCCCCTTTAAGATAAAAAACAAGTGTGTAGGACTGATAACCATATTACTAATTTTTTGTTGGATCATTGAGCAGAACTGTTGGCATTGTCACTATTTGAATGTCACTTTGTATGCTTTAATTTTGAACCTAAACAACTATTTCTAAGATGACAATATGTAACTTATCAACTAGTGATTTCTTACTGTTTATTTTTCTGAAATTCTGTATTATTTCTACCCTTTTTTTTTCTCTTTTTAAAAAAAAACCAGGACAGGGAAATTGAGTTAATTCTGGAGGTCGGGGAAGCCCCGACAACCACAGACACTCCTGAAAGCAGAGGTCCAGAACTGCTTCAGAAAGTAGCAACAATGATGGGATTGGTGTGTTCAGAGTGAGGGGGAGGATATTTATCAGTGGCAATGTTACTTTTACTGTCACATTGTAAAAATTTAACCATTCACCATTTTTTTGGATCATACTGCATAGGCCAAACAGTGGTCTCAAAACTTTTTTGTGTGTATTTGTTTGGTCGGTTGGTTTCTTTTTTTGTACCGGGGATTGAACTCACGACCTTATGCTTACCAGGTAAGCGTTTAAGCCACTAAACTAAATCCCAGGCCTTTTTTTGAGACAGGGTCTTGCTACACAGTGAACTCACTGTGTAGTCCAAGTTGGTCTTGAACTCACAGCTATCCTCTTGTCTCAGCCTCCCTGGTGCTGGGATTACAGGCATAGGCCATCATACATGGTGGTCTCAGAACATTTATTCTTCCCTTTATCCTAGAAATATTAAGCAAAAAGGGAAAAAAATCCACCACTTTGCTGGTAGGTGTATCTAGAAAAAAGATTTCTAGAGCATGAGATTTGCCAACCATGCTTCTTATGTAGTTGGGATTAAACAACCCTCTTAGACCACAAGATGAGTACATATATGGCTTTGCTAGATTTATTTGAATTATCTAAGATCAAAGCTAGAGATGAATCAAGCCTTTGGCACAATGGCGCATGCCTGTAATACCAGCACTCTGGGAGGCTGAGGCAGGAAGATTACAAGTTTGAAACTAGCTTGGATGATGTAGTAATTTAAGGAAACCTCCATCTCAAAATAAAAACTAAAACAAGAGAATGAGATTATAGCTCAGCAGTACCACAAAAGTTTTTAAAATAAATATAAATAAACATACATCAAGATTACAGTCTTTGTACTTGCGTCAACAGTTGGGCTATATAAGGAAACAAAGAGATAAAAACTAAAAAGAGATATCCAGAGACTTTATGAGGTAGCAATTTTGAAAGCTGAAAAACCTTTCTTTAAAGTCTTGGGAATAAACTAGTTACATTATTTTGTTTTTGCTGCTTTCAACAGCTATTACACTTTAAAGCGTTACATTCATTTTCTATGCCCCATGGACAACTAGCATTCATAAAGCTCTGTATGACCTGCAAAATACGTATTGGTCTGTCTTAAGCTACAGTTCTGTAGCATGTGCAAGACCATTGGTGATTCCATTCCTTACCCAATACACTGCAGGCTTATGCCAGAACAAACACACTTGCCTAAGACCCAGGGGGAGGTTCCCCTCATGACCAGCCAGCATTAATGAAGGAGTCTTGAGCTTTTTTGGCATTGATTGTCTCATCTCTACCGCAGCTTTATGCCAAAGTTTAAAAAAAAAAAAAAAGCAGCTTTCCATTTCTTTAAAGTAGGAGCTCACTAAGGGAAAGGTGGAGATGGTTGCAAGGTTTGATGCATACGCTAAGTACGTGGAAGGAAATCAGGCCAAAGGTTACTCTAGTGCTGTTGCTTCTGCATGGTGAAAAACAGGAGGCAGTTTGTTGGCAAATATTTGTTCATTGGCAGTGTTTGTTGGTTGCTAGTTAGTTTCCTGGTGGACAGCTTCCCACAACAGCACAGGGAGACCGGCGCAGCCCTGCAATCTGTCTGAGTCCCTTCTGTATTTAGGGTGCACCTTCCTGCTGAAACCAGACAGATGAGGTGTTCAGGGACCTCCACTCTCTGAATGGCAAACCCTGCGTGCCATTACTGTGGTTACACGTGATAGTCATAATCTATCGATGTGGCTGAAGAGCTATATTGATCCTTTCTCTCCTCCCAAGCTATGACTTAGGTATAGAGAATCGGGATGCCACCCACGACCAAGTCACCAAGGATGCTGCCGAAGCTATAAAGAAGTACAACGTGGGCATCAAGTGTGCCACCATCACCCCCGACGAGAAGAGGGTTGAGGAGTTCAAGTTGAAACAAATGTGGAAATCACCCAATGGCACCATCCGAAATATTCTAGGGGGCACTGTCTTCAGAGAAGCTATTATCTGTAAAAATATTCCCCGCCTAGTGTCGGGGTGGCTAAAACCCATCATCATAGGCCGTCATGCATATGGGGATCAAGTAAGTCATCTTGGCATAATCCAATTCTCCATATTTTTTATGTGTGGCCCAGAAGTTCCAATGTATGTGTTTTGTTCTTAAGATGCAGAAATGCAGCTGTGTATAACAGATTTGCATACCTTTAGGTAGAGATAAATATGGATGAACTTATAAATAAGTACCCATTCAAACACAAGTGATTTTTCCCAAACATGTTTTTTCGTCCTTTATCCTTTACACTGTGTGATATTGTGTTAGTAATCTTATATGATCCAGCTGGACCAGTGGTTTTCAGCACTGGCTCGCAGTGGGATCCCCTTAGGATGTGTCAGTGGTTTGATTCTGTTTTGTTTCATCTTTTTTTGTTTTTTTCCTATGTTTTAATTCCTGTATTTGAGTCTTATCTAACTCACGTCCGAAATCTGAATTCTGTGGGGTTTAAACTGCACAAATGGAATTGAGAACTACCAAAGATTGTATTAAAGAATTGTCTTAAACTTTATGGAAGACAGACTGACCCAGTAGTTGAGAAACCCTGAAAGCATCCCTTCCTGCTTAGAAAACAAATAAGAGTCTTTGTATTTCTGTGTAAGGAGGCTCACTGCCAAGTCAAGTAGAAAAACTGCCGGCTAGACAGAGTCTGACTGCCACATTGAAACTGAGTTCTGGAATTTCATAGGGAGTAGTTCAGATCCGAAAATGGGAATCTCTCACACTGAAATGTGTCTCTGTAGTCAGCCCTGAACACAGCGGCTGGAATGGATGTCTCTCTGTTTCTAAGGGCAGGTCACCAGCGCTTCTCTTGGGGATCAGTTAACTGTATTTCACCCCATGGTGCAAACTGTCTCTTCCTCCTGGCCGGTCCTTCACAAACACCTCCAGTGACCAAGGCCAGGGGGGCACAGAGAGCAAGACCGACCCACCCCGAGTCCTTACTGGTTCAGTCTCTCTTTTTGTTCTCTTCATTTTCTTTTCTTTTCACATTTTTTGTGGCTTTAATCATCTGGTAGAAATGGCCATTTAGAGTCCGGGTTGAATATTGCATGCATCCTGTTAATCCACTGACTGTTACATATGCACTCAGCTGCATCTCTATGAAGCATATATGGCTCCTTGGTGTCTCAGTTTCTTCCTTTTGAGAAACGAGAACAAGTTGCTCTATGGCGAAGGACTTTAGGTCCAAGTGTTTATTCCTTTTTGTTACCTGATTGCTCCTTTACCAACCAACTGTAGTCTGACGGTAAACTTACATGTGCGGCCCGCCCTCACTGCACTCTTTCCAAGGCACTGAGTTAATCAAGTCACTGAAGAGGGTTTAATTGACCTGGGAAAGCCCGGGACACGCGGGCACATTTCTTCACTAGCTCAGGCCATAAGCCTGTGGCTGTCTTTGAACAGCCCTTTTATTGGCATCATCAACCTGTCGTAATTTCTTTCAGAATGATGGTTTCATGTGGGCAGGGGCCTGGTGTTAGTAATAGTGATAACTGTGGAAAGATTGAGCCTTGAAATCTAAATAAGGGCCAGATCCCACACCTTTGGAGCCTGAATGTATTCTTTCCACCGGGTCTCAGTGCCTTCCTTGAAAGACTGTGTGCCAATACGAGATCAGCACGTGGGGAATGTAGTAAGGCCCAAGCGTTAGCACTGTCATCATTACCTTCAAAACTGCAGTTAGAATTACTACCAGCTCCTCTGAGAATTCCCTCACTTGTAGGCCACGGTCAAGTCCCCCTAAATGGGACTTGCAGGTCCCATTTTGACATTTGAAAACTCTTCTGTTTACATTAGTCTTTATTAGGTTGAAAGCTTCCTAAAAGAATGTACCTCGTGTTATTCCCGCCCTCTCCCAATTCTTAGAGGACTGCTCTGTCTATGCTAGGCACCTAATCAATATTTACTGGTTTTATTTTATTTTTTTTTTTTAAGAGAAGAGTGTATTTATTAGGGGAAAGAAAGCTTCTGTCTGAGAGAGCCAGAAGGGGTCCTGAGTGGGATGCCAAAGACTGACTTTTTGCAGGAATTTTTTTTTTTTTTTTTTTTTTTTGGTCTTTTTCATTTTTATCAGTACCGGGGATCGAACTCACGACCGCCTGCTTGCAAGGCAGGTACTTATGCCGCTGAGCTAAATCCCCAGCCCCTTTTTGCAAGATTTTTATAGAGCAAAACCATGAGCTAAGACGGGTCCAAGGTGGAAGAAAATGGGAAATTGCAAGGTGGGCATGAGGCAGGACAAAACTATGGTCAGCCAATAAGATTATGAGTTTAATTATTCATGTAAGATGGATTAAACTGGGATCAAATAGGGAAGCAAGTTACATAGCAAACAGGCATGAATACAGAACAGGGCTTTTCATGTAGGGGGTTGGATTAGTGGTGCTTCCTGGCTTTCTCAAGGTGACCCAGGAGATGGATATGTATTTAGAATGTTGATCCCTGATGTTTATCCTCAGGGTGAGCGGGCATTTGTTTTATCCTTGAGGTCTGGTCCACAGGGGAGGTGTCAGTCACCCCCACAGTTGCAGAGTTGGCTCTTTGAGGGCCCAGCCTTAGCTGACTGCCTATAATATTTCTGTCTAATTCAGCTGCCTGTAATATTCTCTCTCTTCTGAAGAAGTACTCTGAACTGCTGTGAGGGTGTAAAGAGAAATAACTGATCTGGCTGCTTCTATCTACTGGTTTTAATAAATACTACCACTAACTAAAAGAACTCTCTGGATTCTTTCCTTTTCATCTCTAAGAAGGTCAAGCTGCCCTGCCCTATTTGTCTAGGTGTTTTCCAGCTCTATATTTTGTATTCTTTTTTTTTCCTTATAATTTATGTTAAGACTGTTTTTCTTACCTCGATGTCTATTCCCCACCTCTCCACAGTATAGAGCAACTGATTTTGTCGTTCCCGGGCCTGGGAAAGTAGAGATAACCTACACCCCAAGCGATGGAAGCCAGAAGGTGACATACCTGGTCCATAACTTTGAAGGTAAACATGAGACCGACCCAAGCTGTGTTGGCTTTTAATAGGATCTACTCAGTATTATTACTGACTTTTTTAAAAAGTTAGTTATGTGACTGCTTAAAACTATAACTTAATCTGCAAGATTTCTGCAGAAACCAAAATCCAACATAAAAATTAATTGGCTTTTGTGTCTTGTGGTGGCATGCATAAAGGCACAAAGGAGTTAGCCACTTAGTCAGTGATACGGGCAATGACAAGTAAGGATGACAGTACATGCCTGTCTGAAACCAGGGAGGGACAGCTGCAAGACTGTCCTGCACAGACTGTGGGAATCAATGTTAGTAGCCCCCAATCAATCGTCATGTAATCCTGCCCTTTGCACTCATTTTGTTTGGAATTGGTTTCATTATTTATTGGCTGAAATGTGTTTCCTGCCCTACTTGTTTTTCTTTCGAAAGTAAAACATTTGCTTTCTGTATCTTCTGCCCCAGCTGCTTCAAGTGTGCCTCAGGGCAAATCCCATCCAGAAGTTGCTGAAAGCACTCATACAAACAAACCCCAACACCTACCTTTGGTTTTCTTTGCTTCTAAGTGATATCATTTCAATAGGATCTAGTTCTGCAGGTTTGAGCACTTTTCTCTAACCGTGGGCACTGGCGTGGTTTCAGTTCTGACTTTCAGTAATAGCAGAGTTCAGCTGAGAAGAGCTGTGGAGCATCAGAGATTACACATGACACAGTTACTTCCACCAGTTACAGTGGGCAAGCTTCATGTCCTTCAGGAAACTACAGACTGTCATTCAGTATTAGAGATGCAAATCCTTCTCCGTAACCGGAGATGAGTCCACATTTAAGTACACATTAGAAATTGTTATAATACCTAAAAGCCAAATGTAAAAGTTTGTACCCATTTTTAGTACATTTCTGGCTCATATCAGTAGGAATTTGTCAGTGTCCTAAAGACCCTATGTTTTGCTCATTTCTAGCCCCTTTCCAAACCAAGTTAGAGAATCCTTCTGTAGAGCTGATTTTTGCCCTATTTTGTGCCTTCAGAACTCATGTGCTGTGCAGGGTGGAAATCGGGTTCAGACGGGAGCTGAGACTGTCCTTTGGTCGTGGTGGGTGACCCCAGCCTTGTTGTATACGTGCCACCTGATTTTACCTTCCTCCTGTTTTCTGTGTTGGCAGAGGGTGGTGGCGTTGCCATGGGGATGTACAATCAAGATAAGTCCATTGAAGACTTTGCGCACAGTTCCTTCCAGATGGCTCTGTCTAAGGGTTGGCCTCTGTATCTGAGCACCAAAAACACTATTCTGAAGAAATATGATGGCCGCTTTAAAGACATCTTTCAGGAGATATATGACAAGTAACTACAGTTTTTCCTTTTCCTTTTTCTTCAAGTAAGCTAGCATCTGTAGAATAGAATGTGCATCTCTTTAACCCTTTTACTCTGGGACAAATTGAGTGAAAATCATCCATGACCCTAAATTAGATGAAGCCAGAACTGTGGTTCAATAGAGGTGAAGCAAAACCTGAGTTGCTTTTAAAAGGACAATGTATTCATTTTTTTTGGTCTTTTTTTGAGACAAGGTCTCACTGCAGTTCAGGCTGGCCTTGAGCTCACTTTGTAGCCCAGGCTGGTCTCTAACTCGCAACGCTCCTCCTACCTCAGCCTCCCGAGTGCTGGGATTACAGGCATGAGCCACCACGCCTGGCTCAGGACAGTGTATTCTTAAATAAAGGCCCCATCTGCCCTTATCTTCTACCCCTTTGAGGGAAACAAAATCAATTTCCTGTGTTACTGTTGCTATTTGTTTTCTGTTTCTTAGGCAGTACAAGTCCCAGTTTGAAGCCCAGAAGATCTGGTACGAGCACAGGCTCATCGATGATATGGTGGCCCAAGCTATGAAGTCAGAGGGGGGCTTCATCTGGGCCTGTAAGAACTACGACGGTGACGTCCAGTCGGATTCTGTGGCCCAAGGTAAGGGGCGGAGGGCCAGTGGAGGTGGAGCCTGGCAGTGAGGCATGCAGTCTGGGAGAGGGATTTTGTTGTAAAGTTAGGAAATGTTAGTGCCACAGACATCCAGACCCGTGGTCTCATCTGACAGGTAAGGAAGTACAACACAGACTGGGAAACTGATTTCATTCCAGGTCACAGAGAAGTCTAGTAACTGATGCATTAACAGCCCTGGCTCCAGCCTTAGAACTTAATAACCCAGTTTCTCTCACACCTTTTCCCCCTACTTGTCCAGCGGACAGCCAACTACTTGATCTGAAAACCATCCCCATTCCTTGCTCTCATTTTTCCTCCAGTTCTTACCACAAGGTAAAAATGTCAGGGTTCCCAGGCAAGGAGAGGTAGGGAAGGCCCTAAACCATCTGTTGACCAGGCTTGGTGCCTACAAGGGCTCCTTGGCCTAGCAGCAGATCCCCCCTTCCGGATGTGCGCAGCACCAAGTGGCTCTTCCAGTTTCGGTTCCTCTGGGTGGCTGTGTGAACTTGAGTGTCCGGGTGAATGTTTGTGTTAGCTTTAATTACGTTTGCTGTTTCCCTGGGAATACTACTACTGTTTCTTGAATGGAAGTCACATGTCTCTTATCAGTTGGAAAGTCAGTGGAGCAGCCCCGTGGAAAGTAGCTTTCATGTCAGATCCGGGAGTTACATGGCTGTGTCCCCTCCTTCTGTGTCTTGAGTCTTTGCAGTCACTTGTCCCGAATGCACAGAGGAAGGGGTGGCACTTTGTGGAGACTCCACGAAGGAGAACGACAATGCTTCCCTGTAGTTGAGTTCTGGGAATAGGACCCAAAGCTCTTCCATTGTTTTAAGTGTCCTGTTGGCAGCCAGAAGAACGTACCTAGGGAAGTAGTTTGTGTCTAAATGCAAAATGAAGGAAATTCAAAAGATTTTTAATTAAGAGGTATAAAGTATGGAAAACCTTAAAGAGAGACCTACCCCAGAGCCAGGCTTGGTCCAGAGCCTGTAGGTTGTTATTTTTAGGCAACTCAACAGATTAAAAGATGGCAGAGCTCATTTTTCTCAAGAGACACGGGCTACTTTGGACTCACACCATTTCACTTATGACCTCAGATCGTATGGTGGCACTGAGCTGTCTCCTAATGTTAATGGATAGACAAATTCCCCTAGGTATGGTGACTATGAATGTCTCTAATTAATAAATACTGGAGTGTTGGCCTGGCGTGGTGGTGCACTCAGGAGGCTGACCCAGGAGGATCGCTTCGAGTTCAAGGCCAGCCTGGGCTAAAAAATGAGTCTGAGGTCAGCCTGAACCACATAGTGAAAGCCTGTCTCAAAAAGACATAAATAAATAAACATCTGAGTGTTTATGCAATCTCAGGGAAAAATGGTAATATGGAAGAAGCTACTAATATTACATACAACTCTCTCAACTGTACTGAAAAGTCACCAAAAAATTAGAGTGATTCCACGTAGTCTTTGATGAAGGTAGGGACATAGAAGGTAGTACTTGATTTAAGTTTACATTACTACACAGGTGCTCATGGGAGGTAGCAAAAACGTGGAGAAAAGGGCTCTACAGTTTCAGGTGAAAAAGAGTGCACAAGGAGATAAATCAGTTGCACAAACTGAAGAGCTGGAATGTGGTTTTCTGAATGGGAAAGAGAATTGTTGAGTAAAGAGAACAAGGAAGCACACATGGGTGTTATTTGACTCTTTTTTTCTTTTTTTGGTACCTGGAATTGAACTCAGGACACTGTGCTTACTGGGCAGGTACTTACACTGTTGAGCTACGTCCCCAGCCTTTGGTCTCCCTTTTCTTCCCAATTCCAGCAAGTCTGTGCAGCTAGAGAGCAGAACACGCTCATATTAAACAAGCAGTAGCACGGTGAGCCTTTACTGTAGCACACACTGTGCTGAGGACTAGGCATTTACATATTAGGCAGGTGCATATATATATGTACCTATATGTTCGTGCATCTATGTGTGTATGTTCATTTAATCCCATTACAACTCAGTCCCCATTTTACAGTCCTTAGTTATTTTTCTCTTGTTGCTGAGACAAAATACCCAACATGCAAAGCTAGAGGAACGAAGGCTTATTTAATTCACAGTTTGTATCATTCCATGCTCAGCTGGGACAACTGTTCATGGCAGGGGAAGACAGCTAAAGCAAGAGAGTTTAAAAGTATCTTTCTGTCCCTCTTCTCTCTTCTAACCCTGCAGGATTAGGGCGGTGCCAAGCCAATTGGTGGGCTGATTAAGTAATCACTCAGCCTTAACCCCAGCATCCCATACTCAAATCAGCCACCTCTGAAAAAGCCTGTGACTGCGTGAGGCTTTGGGGTTTATCTAGATACAAACTGTAACACACAAGTAGGGAAACTTGGTCCGGTAGCTCTGAGACCCCAGAGCAAGGGTGAAATGCAGGCAGAGCTCCCATTGTGGAGCAGTTACCCCTGTGCTAAATGGGGTGTTACACCCTTCCCAGAGCCTTTGACTCTGCCTCCTGGAGCAAGACTTCTGCTTTCTGAAAAGCAGAAGAGTTACTGATGACTCCTTGTGCTCGTGTGTACTTCGTTTACCAAGACTTGGTGAGATGGAGTCAGTCTTCCTCTGGTCTAAGAGACCCAGGCTCTTCATGCATTTGGACTCTGTGCTCTGTGCTCTGTGCTCTTCCCCTCACAGGTTACGGCTCCCTTGGCATGATGACCAGCGTGCTGGTTTGTCCGGATGGCAAGACGGTAGAAGCGGAGGCTGCCCACGGGACTGTGACACGCCACTACCGCATGTACCAGAAGGGGCAGGAGACCTCCACCAATCCTATTGGTAAGACAACATCCACTTCCAGCTGACTGCCGGCTAGAGAGCGTGCCCCAGGGTGATCCCCAGGGGCTCAGAAACATCCCTGGGATGCTCAGTGCTTTGTTCCAAAATTATCACTCAGTAGCTGGTTCATTCTAACAGGAGCTGTTGTAAGATGCTTCTTAAAATACCGCATGTGCTTCTCTATTTTGCAGGAAAGTATGTGGTGCAGAGAGAAATGTTATCAGCAAGTGCTTTCCTTGACCTCTGGTGCAGTAAGATGTAAAGTCTGTAAACAAAAGCCCCACGGATAGATCTTCTAGGAAGGTTTCAAGGACAGCACTTTAAAAAGCGATTGTAGCCTAGAAAGAGGAGAGCATCAGAGATGAACGAGGAGGGAGCAGCCTTTTCTAAATCAGCAGAAACGCCTAAAGCTTCAGGGCCTAGTGCCACACCACACCACTGGGAATTTTCAAGTTTCTGTTAGGCAAAATTTTTCCACTGTTTCTAAAACTTCCAGGCTTTTTGGATAGCATCTAATGAAGTATATCACTACACAGATGCTTTTCTGTTTCAGGAATCCCTGAAACTGAGAATGACTGAGGTACAGGGTTTTCGTTTCTCCCTTTCAGCGTCCATTTTTGCCTGGACCAGAGGGTTGGCCCACAGAGCGAAGCTGGACAACAATAAGGAGCTCGACTTCTTTGCCAAAGCTTTGGAAGAAGTCTGCATCGAGACCATTGAGGCTGGCTTCATGACCAAGGACTTGGCTGCTTGCATTAAAGGGTTACCCAAGTAAGTGGAAGCCCCAGACTCTGCTCAGACGATCCCCAGTGCCTTTTAGAATGTGAACTGCTGTTATTCCGCGTCCTCTTGGGGGAGGGCAGACGGTGCCTGTGAGTTGTCAGAGAGGGAACAAAGTCTTTTTGTAACTGTGCAGCTGGTCTACTCTGTGTCTGCATTGTAGCAGGAAAGTAGTGGAAGACAGAAGGCAGGGTAAAGCAGTACAGCAGGTCAGACTTCCATGTGCAGAATTAGGCTGCAGACTACATTGGGCCAATGGGCTAGACTATAATTTGCTGATCTCCAATCTAACTAATAATTACTGAATGAGAAGGTTCTGTTTGATTTTAGGAAGAAAATAGTAGACAATGGCAAAGGTAACTTCAAGGCTAGTTTATTCTACTCCTTTGTTTTTTTAATTTGCAAATGAGGAAAGTAAGCAGTTCAAGTCTAATATGGCAAATTGATTCTGATATAACTGTGGGGGACCGGCGGCAGCCGCTGAAAAGATAAGAAGTATGAAATATAAATGACCTTTATTTTGAGAATATGGGGAAAGACACCCCCAATCCCTTGGGGCGCAGCATCTCCACCGCGGGGTCGACGTGGAGTGGGGGCCTGTATGTAGCTTAGGTTAGGGGTGGGTAGCCCATTGGCACTAGTTTGGCACCAGAGGTAGATTCCTAGGGTTGGGAGAGATAGGAGCTCCTTGGCTTTACCGCCTACAGTGTCCGGCCTGAGCCAAAACCCTTTCAGATTCCAACTGAGAATCCTTTAACTCTCCATAACCATCAGTCTAGGGTTTGAGGGCCTGTGTGTGGCCAGGGCTTTTCTGAGGATGTGGTAGCCAGGGTCCCAGCTCGACTACCAGCTCATCATCCTCCCCTCATAGTCAGAGTTAGTGACTAAGACTCAGCTCAGGAAACACTACTAACTGGGCGTGGTGACACACGACTGTGTGTGTCAGCACACACAATCTCGGCAATCTCAGCAATAGGGAGGCTGAAGCAGAATGATCACTGCAAGTTCAAGGCCAGCCTGGGCTCCAAAGTGAGTCTCAGTCTAGCCAAAACTGCATAGTGAGATCAGAGACAAAAAACAAAAAAATCAACGAAACACTGCTAAAATTGAGCCCTAATACCATGTGCCTACCAGTGTTTCCTCAGAGATCTCAGTTCGGATCAGTGTGTCCCAGTAAAGGGCATAACTGCCTCACTGTGTCTCTTAACTTGAATTTCCAGCATAGATCCAGTGTTTGAAATGTTCTTATTAACGTAGGATCTTTGTAGCCTGTTTGGTAGGCACTTGCCTGCAGGATCATGTCAGCCAGTACATTGTCTTTTAGTTTTTCTTACGTGAGATGCTAATAAAAATAAGATCACTTGTTTTACGGACTTGTAAGAATACATAGAAATGTAGTGAAGGAGTGGCTGTCCCCTGAATAAACTTTGTTACTTCTCAGGATGATGAATGTGGCTGAGTGAGGTCACTGGCTCTAGTGTGACCTGCAGGTCTGTAACATCTTCATCCTGGAAGCTGCATGGCAGGAGGGTTCAGGCATGAGCGAGCCTGGCCCAGGCTGCCCGCAGCCCCAGGGCTGCGCTGGCTCCGCCCCCAGAACCTTGAGTACAGTCATCACCTGGAGACTGGAGCCCCTGAGCGGCAGTTGGGTTTCTTTTAGAAACAAATAGAACCTTACCTTAAGTCACACTTGCGGGATTTTATTTTTCCTCTCTACTTCTTGTCATCTCAGAGACAAACTAAATTCCCTTCTTTTCTTTTTCCTCCCCTATTAGTGTGCAACGTTCTGACTATTTGAATACATTTGAGTTCATGGACAAACTCGGAGAAAACTTGAAGACAAAACTAGCTCAGGCCAAACTCTAAGGCCACCCCTGGGCCGAGGAGGAGACACGTGGTCTACAGGTTTACATGGTTTTTTTTTTTTTTTTTTTTGTATAACACTCAAAGAGTATAAAAGCAAAATCAGTTTTGTAATTTGTTTAGAAGCCAGAGTTGATCTTTTCTATGAGTTTATAGCCTTTTTCTTATACACATACGGTTAAGCCATCTTTGTGAGTATAGCAGGCGACCTTTTTTAAAATTGTATTTTATTTTCTGGTCGCAGCCTTGGAATTGTTTTAATATTCACTCCTGTTCATAGTCACTTTCTCTGTGTTCCGATATAAATGACCAAAATCAAGAGAGCTCGAAAGGCTGCCTTTTCCCAGTAACCTTTGGGAACAGTCGCCACCGTACTGTTGCCTAAAATCCGAGTGAAACAGAAATTCACTGCCTTCCCTCCCATCCGGAGCACCGGCACTGGGCGGTCTTAATTATTACAGATGTCCAGGAAGGTAAGGATAGAGCTCTATTGTGAGCTCACACTGGATTGGAGCAGAGGATGAGCGTAACTGAAGTGTGTTGATGACCCCATAGTCATTTTTGTAAAATGCTTGTTAAATGTGTCCAGTATGCTGAATATTTTTGAGTCCGCCAGGGAGTTCAAAATCCAGAGGAAATACTGACTAGAGGATTGGACCTCTGCGTTTGTCTCTTCCTGTTCCTAGCTTGACCTGAGTATTACACTACCCAAAATAGCATATTCCATCCACGTGCAATAATGTAAGCTGTACCATTTGTGGCCTTCTGTTGGCCTATTTCCTTTTTATATAAATGTGATTTTCCAGAAGCTGATATTAAACACTATTCTGGCCCGGTTTTTCATCTGAACTGTTAATTTTAATTAAAATGATGTTCTAATCGTTCTTCTGCATTTTTACTTCCATGTACTTACACGCCGAGCACCGTGCTACATAATAGAAAAGAATCTCTATCCACTAGAAGTTTACTGTGGGGGAAGTGGGTGAATAAAAGAGACAGACAGTGAGAGGCAGAGTCTACAAGAGGAAGGAAAGATGACCAGAGATAGGACCGAAGGAGTGGGGAAGAGAGGCTGGCTGTGCACACACCACGGGGTTCAGACATTGCATTGCAAGTTAACACGGGGCTAATGAAGAGTTTTGAGAAAGAAGAGACGTGATCGTATTTTTAATTTAAAAAAAAAAAAAAAACTGGGCAGCTTTATAAAAAGGACAGGTAGGGCTGAGTGCGGTGACACACCTGTAATCGCAGCACTCTCCAGGAGGCTGAGACAGGAGGATTGCCTTGAATTCAAGGTCACTTTGGGGCTACATAGTGAAATCAAGACCAGCCTGAACTACCTGTCTCAAAAAAATTTTTTTAATTAAAAAAAATAAGAATGGGGTTGCAAGGGGTAGCATGGTGGGCACCCAAGGGAGCCCGCTAGGAGCTGATTGTAGTACTGTAGTTGGAAACTAAAGATCTGGACCAAGCAGTGGGTAAGGAGGGCTTGAGACAAGAAAGCAGAGTGGCGGGGGCAGCGGGAAATGTGGGGACAAGGGGAAAGAGTAAGGCAGGCGGGCTCCCACATCTCTAGCTCCCATCTGGAGAAAGGCTGCCTGTGTCCCAGCATCTTTGGGAGGAAGGCACCCCGGAAATCACCTGTCTGGCTTCTTTCTGGTCTGTCTTCCTGGCAGCCTTGGAGTCAGGACCCACACTGCCTCCACATAGATCTCTTTGAAGGCCTGAGAGAACATGGCGCCTTTCAGGATCCTGGTGGGGCTGCTATAAGGTACTCTACCTTGTTCTTCCTGTGCTACCCGTGGGGCACCTCCAAAACAGCCCCCTCGCCTGGAGATGCTCACGAAGCAGGGGTAGTGTGCAGATCCTGGGCTGCCTGAAGCCCTGACCAACCCAAAGTCAAAGACACGAGCTCTGCAGAGGGCCAGCAGGTAAAAAGGTTTCACAAAGGCACTAACTATTTCCATGTTTTATAGGAGGTTCTAAGATATTTTTATGAAAGACTGACAACTCGAGTCGATAGTTCAATGAAAAGGAGCAGGGATCAGCGAAGTTCAGGATAAAAGAGACATCCCAATGTTTTGTTTCCTAGCCTTGATGGCATTGTGCACTACTGTTTTATGTGTGACTAGTCTGTCCTGTGTAAAGATCTGCGAGCCACTCACGTTGACAGCGATGCCTCTAAACCATCATAAGTAGGGTAGACAGGCCTTTAAGGGAATGGAACATCCATTCTTTACCATGATCCTGTACTTTCTTACCAGAGTCCTCACAGATTGTGTACCGATTTCTAATGACAAAGTTAGAGACTAGTTAACTTAGCAGTAGAGTTGCTATCCACTCTAAGCCCCTGATGTCCAACAAGCTGGTTACACGGAATGTCCCTGGACGCTGGACTTTCCACAGAACTCAAACTTTAACATTGAACTTCACATCAAAAGTAATTTATCAAATATAATCTGTCTGTAGTATTTTCCTTTCATCTAAACTTACTACGTTCTGTTCCTATTTCCCCCCCTGGCAATACCTCCCTAACGGGTAGAGCACTCATTTCCCCTCCCTTTGACAGGATTTGAATTCCTTAAAAAGTTAGAGCCAGGGAGGAAGCACAGTGGTAGAGAGCTGGCCTAGTATGGCCGACAGCCTGGGTTCAGTCCCAGCGTAAGTGGTGTCCATTATGCTCAGTGTGCAATGGGGAGGGACTGGAGCATCAAGCAGTGATGAAGATTGTAAGATGTGACAGTGGCCGTTTGGACTGGGCTTCGGGAACCCTTATGGCAGAGGCAGGTCTCTTCCCCCGTCTGTATGTTTTGGGTTTGGGTGAAAGAAGATCGTATCGCATGGTGATGGCGATGATGAAAACATCCACAAAGCCATGGCGTTGGACTGGATGAGCCACTGGCCCCTCTGGCATGAGAACTCATTAGGATTGGTCAGATGTGTGATACTCCAGTGTCTGTCAGGATCAATATCTGGCCAAGAACTAGCGAAGGCTCTAAAGAAAGCAGCAGATGGGCGTAAGCTGGCAGGTATGGACACCTCCTTCTGGAAGCTAAAGGATTATTTCATAACAACCCAGAGGATCGGAATCGTTGACCTGAAAAATGACAGTGATGTCAGAGGGAGGAAAAGGGTTCCATATTTAAATCCTCTTCTGTTTCACAGGTGCTGTTTCTTGGAATTTTTTAACTGCAAAATTTTAAATTTCAATCTTAATGATTACTGGTCTGCTCCAGTGTAAAGATCTACCCTGTTCTTGTGTGATACCTACTATCCTGCAGACACTGACCAGTGACTTTCCAGCTCCTGTTTGCTTTTTTGTATAATAAAAATTTCCCCCAAATAAGGGTATTGACTCCTCTGTTTAAGAGATAAGATCAGAAACTATAAAAATAATAACGAAGGCTTTAATTACTTATATCACTACTACGATAAAAGTGCTATGTTCTTACCAGCCCTCTGCTATTAAAGGTTTTATTTCATAGTTCCTGTCATTGTGTTTTTTTGGTGTGGGCTGCCCACTGAGCCATGTTCCCAGCCCCCTTTTAGTGTCCATTTTGCTGCAGACTCTCCTCAGTTTGCTAATTTGCCAGGCTGAGTTCAAGCATTTTCATCTTCCTGCCTCAACCTCCCAGTGCGCTGAGCTTACAAATGTGTAACCATGCCCAGATGTTGTTGTGTTATTTTGGCTTTTTTGTTTGTTGGTTTTAAACAGGGCCTTTCTACATATTCCAGTATGACCTTGAAGTAACCCAGGCTGGTCTCGATCTTGCAATCCTCCTGCCTCAGTCATCTGAACACTGAAATTAGCACTAAAATGTTCAGTCCTGTTTTTAGCATCAGGTTGATAATTGATTCTAAATCACTAATTCCTCCAGAATAAGAACTTGAAGATCTCTGAATTTGGATGATGCTACCGACTCTGCAGCAGGAGAATTTTGTAGACATTGCAGCATTGTTTGTTAATTTTGATAATATTTCAAACTTGCAGGAAAATTATGAGAATAGTGTAATAAATTTTTCACAGTAGTACCCTTTGTTGTATCTTTCACACACAGCCAAAATGCACACTCTTATTTTCCTGAACCACTTTAGAGTAATTTGAAGACAGTTTCCGACTTTATTCTTAAAATCTTTAGTATATAATTTTTTAAAATGACATTGTCTTGGTTAGCCATATTATGATTAGCAGAATTAGGAGACCTAACATTAATTGTTAATACAATGTAATACAGGCTCTATTCAAATTTCTTTTTATTTTTGTTTTGAAAGTATACAACAGAACAAGTCAGAATAAAGCCAACTAAGATTGTACAGTGAAATTGGTACAGAACTTCACAGCAGGTTACTGGGATAACAGTAATAGGTATCACAGTATATTTTGTTATCTTTATAATAGTTGTTCTTTCAATCCCGTATATCAAAATGAGATGAAATATGGAACACTATAGAATTTATCAAAACAGAATATTGAATAGAGCAGTACCATTAATCAGAAAAGAGCAAAACAGTAATAAAATATATTTGCCTTCAAAGAAATGGTAGAAGGAAGTCCCCCTTATTTGCTATGGTCAACCTCCCAGGAGATGCTCAGATTTCTGGTTTCTATTTGCTAATGGGCGGGGCAGGGGAGGGAGGAGAAGGAGGATAGGGAAGTGGGATATTTGACTCTAGGCCATGTAGCAGTAGGTTCACTATTGCTAGGCAGGGAGGCAGAATGGTCATTTGTTTTCACAGTGTCCTCAGTTCCAACATGGCGTGGATCTCAGGAGACACTGCTGGTTCTCCCCCTGGAAGGGCTGCAGTCTGCCACCCTGCCTCCACTTACCAGGGAGGGGAGGTGCTGGCTTGGCTTCCCAGAGTCCTAAGTTCCAACATGGCGTGGATCTCAGGAGACACTGCTGGTTCTCCCCCTGGAAGCTCTATTCAAATTTCAACAACTGTTCCCATAATCAGCAGCTTCCCCCTCCTATCCAGGATCCAATCAAAGGTCACACATTGCCTTTGACTGCCACATCTTTTGTCAAAATCAGAAACTGTAACTACGTTATTTAGTGACTTAGAAATTGCAATTCAGGTATCAGATTCAGGTAAGCCTGCCTCTGTTAGCGGGAAGCAGAAACTTGTAGACAAGTCATGCTGATTTCCTACAAAGCAGTGAAAATTCTTGAGTAGAAAAGCTTCTGTTGATTGTTGTGAAAGAACAGAAACCACTTGATGAATAGAAGACAAAAAGACTTGGTGAAAGTGTCCATAAAATGAGAGTCCGGTAGCCTTTGACATTTTGAGTGCCTCTGGACACAATTATCTGGTCCCTCTGGATGCCCCTGCAGGCAGTGCCTTGAGATACACAGACAAGTCCTGCTTCCTTAATGGCTTCCTGACTGTGTGTGTGTGTGTGTGTGTATGTGTATGTGTGTGTGTGTGTGTGTGTGTGTGTCTGTGTCTGTGTGTGTCTGTGTGTATTCCCTGGCACCTAACTCAGGACGCAGGCAGAGTGGGAAAATATAAGTACCAGGCTACATTCGCAGTTCCCAACTCCACTTTAAGAAGCTATCTCAATGTTGCCTGCATTCTAATTTTCCTTTTCACACTCTGTCTCCTTTTGTCTAAAACAGTTCCTCATCCTTCCTTTGCTTTCTTGGACCCTGACATGTTTAAATCATACAGCCTCATGTAGGGGTGAAGGAAAAATTCCTCTCCATGCTCTGAAGATTGATTGGAATAAACAGACATTAAACATGGGAGCCTATTAATGTGCAAAACATTAAAGGCCACAGGAGTGTGATTATCCACTAGTCAATAAGATTCAGAGACTTACATACCCATTTTTCTATAGGGAAGGTGAAGGACATAGTCGTATTTTAGGGAAATCCAGTGGGCT